ATGGCAAAGGCAGTTACACCGTCTTGCGCAAGAGTTTGGACTGACCACGCCCAACTTCGATGGACTGCCGCCTGCACAACACAGTGGCTACATATGCTATGAGTGCGGCAAGATCCAAAAAACTCGGGGAGCATGGAAGCGCCATCGCACCATGGAGCACATCGGCTACGACCTCCCCGAATTGCTTGCCCGCTCGACTACCTGCCCTGGGTGTGGGAAGAACTTCATAGCGCGATCGCGCATACTCAAGCACCTGAGAAGGTGCCCCAGGTGCCTGGCTGTACTCCAAGCAATCGAAGTCCCAATGGATCTGCAGGAGGCAGCCGAACGCCGAGAAGAGGAACGAGAGGCTGTGGCGACGAGGAAGGCAATGGGGCATGGAGCTACAAAGGCGCTGGTGCCCGCCCAACAGGTCATACACATCAAGCTGGCCGACTACATCGAGCAGCATCAGATCCAGCTCTCGCCGGCGCCGCCTGCAGCAGCGGATCCTCAACCAGCGACGCCACCTGCAAGTGTATTCGCACCGTGCAGGCCCATGGTTACTACGGCTATGTTCTTGCTGCACCTTTTCTCAGGCAGACGCCGAACCGAGGATTTCCAGCATCACTTCGAGATGAATATTCGGGAATGCAATTTGGTAGTATTATCGATCGACGTGCAGATAGACCCCGACAAAGGAGACCTGACGAAGCCAGACGTCGTCGAGTTTTGGTGCGCGGCGATACGACAGGGCAAAATATTTGGCATTGTGGCGGCCCCCCCCTGCGAGACGTGGTGCTCATCGCGCTGGCGTGCCGCCGATGGGAAAGCTCCGCGACCACTACGTACACACGACTTCCCCTGGGGCATACAAGCAGCCAATCAAGCGGAGCGTCAACAGATAGCACTAGCCAACGAGCTATACAGGACAGCTCTACTACTCATCACCACGGGCTTGCAGTACAACGTATCAGCCGTACTCGAGCATCCCGCTCCAGCCACCTGGTGCCCTCAAGCGCCTAGCAGCTGGCAGCGAGCAGAGACGCGCTGGCTTTTGGAGCAGACGAGCGTCGAGCTGCACTACATAGACCAGTGTCAGTTTGGGCAGGCTGCGCGAAAGCCAACATGTCTCATGGCGGTACACCTCAGTGAACTTACACAGGAGCTGGGGGCGGTACCTGGGGGACAGCTATGCCGACATAACGGACATGATAGAGCTTACGGACGAGACGGCCAAGGCGGCTGGAGGACCGCCCCCCTCAAATAATATCCTTCAAGGCTGTGCAAGGCAATGGCTACTGCATTCGCAGCCCACTGGGGACAGCTTGCTGACGAAGAGGCAATGTGGGCCGAAACGGATGAATGCTATCACAGGTTCTGCGCCCCCTTGGACTACTACATCGAGTCAGAGCAGCTGGGCCACGACTGTCACAGGGCATGGGGTAACCAACGGCGCTAGCAGCTGACGCTGCAGCGGCACTACGTTTGGCTGCACAGCTATTCGAGTTTAATGGTTTCAGGATTATTCATATCTGCCAGACCCTGGAAGGGACCATCGGTTGGCAGTTTGGCGCAGACTATTGGCATCTTACAGATTGGAGGGCAGCTGGTATTGCAGAATTGCGTACAGTCGGGTAATATTTCAGAGCAGGCGCGTCAGCATCAGCGCACCACTGTATGTATTCAAGACCCGCATTGTTTCTGGGTTATTGGCACGGCTGCGTCTTGGACAGCGATTGCGTGCCATACTCGAGGGGGGGGGACCCGTAGCGCCCATACGGGTGGGCACGATCCCTCAATGGCGACGGAGCGTGCCCCCCCCTCGAGCACTTTCTGAATTTATTAGCTTTCTTTCAACACTGGTATTTACTTCTATGATTATCCAGCGCCCTGGACAAGGCACTATGGTGCCATGGTGTAAGTCCTGAGGAAGCCCCGAATGCGAGGGAAGACCTCAGGCAGCGTCGCCTTGTTTTGCCCTGGTTAGAACGCAAAGTCCTGGGGGAGCCCCGAATGCGAGGGAACACCCCAGGCATAAGTCGCCACGTTTTGTTGTGTACCCTGGCGGCGACTGGCTACCTACAACTTGGACGGCGCCAGCTACCTACAACTTGACGGCGACAGCATACCCAGCACGACCCCGCACACCTCCGGCCAAGTCAACGCTGTCCTGGTGAGGATCAAACTTCGAGACGGGCTCGAAGGGCGGGGGGGAAGGACGAGTACTTCCCGCGCCCACCAGCGGGGATGGTGAGGGGCAGGGGGGGGGTAGGACGGCCACTACCTGCGCCCCCGCGGTCCGCCCTAGCTCGCCACCCCCACCATTCCCATGGAGAAGGAGGAGCTACCCGAGCGCCCGAGGGCGAAGCACAGGACAGCCGAGACATCCCACTTCGACGACAAGTACCAGGCCTGGGGTCCGCCCCCACCGAGGGCACTGTGACCCCTAGCCATAGCGGGACGAGGTGGGACAGCCAAGACCCCCACTTGAAGTCGGTGCATGGAGGCCTTGGGGGCCCACAACCAACGCAACACCAGCAACGACCCGACCCCCAACGACCTGACCAGCACGCTCCACACCCTGCACTCAGCCCTACAAACAACCGACATCTACAACATCCGAGATCAGCACCCTCCTGTACTACATAGGCGGGGGTGGCATGACTGACGACATTGGACACTACGGCTAGTGAGTACCAGTACGACCAAGACTGGACAGGATCAAGCAGGAGTACCAACCCGTCCAGTGCGTCTAGGACGAGGGATACGTGTTCGAGCACCACAGTGTCAGGCAGCACTGCAGGTTCAACATGGAGTACTCGACGAGAAGGGGCGGCCTGCCCCTCGGCGAGGGATACACAGCGCCAGGCGCCGAAGGGTGTATCCCCGTCGCCCTCGCGTGGCATGCGAGGGGCCGAGGCCAGCCGGCCTGGATCGGCATGATGAAGTGAGCAACCGCTGCAGACCTGCTGGAGCCCAAGAGCGGCTCGGCGGGCCTCCACAGCGCGCTGCGCCGAAGGGTGGAGGCCGCCGCAGCCGAGGGCTGCCAGCCACCCGAAGACCCACGGCGGCTGGGCTCAGCGCGAGGCGCCGAAGGGAGCCCAGCCGCCACCCACGCGGCCGCCAGCCCACAAAGAGGCCGACGGCCTGGCCGAGCGCCGCGCTGGCTGACGCCCGCTGGCACGGGCGCGCGCGGCGCCCGCCCGTGGGCCCTCACGGGCCCCCTTTTTTTCTTTTTGCAGAAACCCGGCCCCCCTTCTTTCTCCCCTGTGGTTTAAATTGGTCCCTGGTTCCCCCTGCTTTCCTCGGGGTCGGGTTCCCGGGGCCGCTGTCCGAGTGCCCGCACGGCCCTGGTGGGCCGCTGCGGCGCGCTCCGCGCCCGCGGGGCGCGCGACAAGACGCTGCATAGCGAGAAATGAGAAATGAGAGAGGAGGAGGAGGAGGAGGATAAAAAGGAGGATAAAGAGGACGAGGATGATGATGATGATGATGAGGAGGAGGAGGAGGAGGAGGAGGAGGAGGAGGAGGAGGAGGAGGAGGAAGAAAACGACTGGTAGACATACGCAAGACGGAACAAGGTGGTATCCTGACAGCAGCCGCGGATCGAAAACACCCGAAGCACAATCGGAGTCGCACCGGGCCCCTGGCTGGCTCCCTCCGAGCAGGGTCCGCGTCATGAGTTCTGCTCACGGCGAATGGCATCAAGCGGCAGAGATCTTAATTATCATAACCCCGAGGCAGGCGATGCATACATAGCGCGACGCACAGGATTGTGTTAGGGGAACGAAGAATGACATAAACATAACAACTCAAAGGTCCGCGCGGATTTCTCGGACCCGCGCTGCAGCTCCTGGCGGCGCCTCGGGCGCCGTCCCTGGCGCGCTCCGTGCGCCAGGAAAGGGGGTGCAGCGCCGATCCGAGAAATCCGTGCGGACCTTCGAGTTTTCATGCTTCTGTCGTTGCGCCGATCCGAGAAATCCGCGCGGACCTCAGAGTTTTTGTGCTTCTATCGATCTTCGTTCTCCTAATGTGGGGGGCGCGCAAACATGGATTAGCGATCTGTGGATCAGGAGCGCGGTCGCCACATCCAAAGATCGGGGGAGGTGCCCTCGCCAAGATGCGGCCGGTGCCGCCTCGCTCGGCGGCGGCAATCCTCATGGAAACGTGACTCGTCGCTAATCCACGCCCCCTTGATTGAAGGGGCCCTGGGACACACAAATAAATAGACACAAATCACAGGGTTCGCCATATTTTTTCCCATATCTTCTGGGTTTTTGTCTTCCCCCCCCCACATATTTTCTGGGGAATCGACGATCAATTGTGTCTGTGTGTTTTTTCCTCTCCTGATTGGTCCATGCTTGCGATCGCCTGATACCGTGTGAGCGAGCAGGTCCTCCGCCCCCCGCCGGAGAGGGCGGGCGGGACGCCTTCCCCTGGGCTCCAGCCCTCGGGCCGCCGCCTCGCGCTCTTGTGGAGGGACCCTGGGGCACATTTTTGATTCGCGGGTCGAGAGCGAGCCTCTTCCGGTCGAAGCTAAGCGGGCCAGCCATCCAGAAACGATTACCTGGTGAGTTGGTTAATCAGGGACGCCTGGAAGCACGCGGTCGCACAGCCTTTTTGAGAGCGTCTTAAATAGGTGGCCAGTACCCTGGGGCCAGAAAACAAGGACCACAAATAGCTTCGGGCAATGAAGGTTAGGAAAGGAATCAGTGCAAGATGCGCCATGGTGTTTCCTGTGGGAAGCGTGTCTGGCGCAGGTTGCTGCATCTACGATCCGACGCCAGTGTTGCGCAGAGTAGACTTGTATTTCGGGCTGCTACATCGGCGATGCATCGCTGATGCATCGGCGACGTCGACGTGAAGCAATTCGGGCTGCACATCGAGCCTCATGGCCGATGCACCGCTCCTCGATCCTCGACCCTCCTCCTCCTTCTCGACCCTCCCCCTCGATCCCCGGCCCTCGGCGAGGCCGACCGCTGGCGGCGACGAGGCCCAGGGGAGACGGCCAGGCCGGCGGCCTCCATGGGCTCCCGGAGCGGCACCGAGAACAGGACTCGGGCGCCGTTTCCTCTTTTGCCGACCGCCGCGCCCCCCGCTTGTGCACCAGGGGAGGCCAGGGACGAGGAGGGGAGGGAGGGCGGGCAGGGGGGAGGTTGGTATACGAAGATCTTCAGCGTGCTGGGGGGCAGGCCACGCAGGCGCGGAGGAGGAGGAGGGAAGAGGGAGGATAGGTTTCGGGGGCGCATGTCTCCGCCACCGTGCCGCAAGGCGCGAAGTAGCGTAGGTCCTTTCGAGTTCTTGGGGGCCCCGAGGGCCGTCTTGGAGGCTTCTGGGGGCCAGCCCAAGAGGCGCAACTCACTGAAGCACCTCAAGCTTTTTTGGGTAGTTTTGTATGCTCGCCTCTTCGGTCTTCAGAGCGTCCAGGACAGCCCCCCCTGAGAGATGGCCCCAGAGGCCCACAAGAGTGGCCCAAGAGGGGGAAATCGGGGGCCCCATGCACCCAAATGGCCTCCGAGACTACCTCGAGGCCCCCAAAAAGCGTCGAAGATACTCCAAAGAGGTTCCCGGTAGGCCTCCAACAAACCCCGAGGGGTCTAGCAAGAGACCACAGAAGCCTCTGAGAAGCGTCTTGTCCACGACCAAGACACGGTGGAGGGATGCGCCAAAAGCCACTAGATCCGCCGCCCCCGTAGCCAGCCCGAGGGGCGTTGAACGTTACCATCATTTTTGGCCCTTCAAATGTTGGCCAGCGTGGGTCCCCACATACAATATACTGCCCTGTGGATTTGGTCAGCCTTGTGTTGCGAGCTGTGCGGTGAAAGCTATGTGGTGTAAGCTGTGGTGCAGTATACGCGGTGCAAGCTAGAGGCGGCAACGAAGCGGCAACGGCCGGCAAACCTTGCCAGATCCACCCAGCGCACCAGGCGGCAACGCGGCAGTAACGAGGCGGCAACGGGCGGCAACGTGGCGAAACCTTGCCAGATTCACCTCACGAGCGAGGCGGCAACGAGGCAACAAAGGGGAGCAACGTGGTGAAACCTCGCCAAAGAAGCCAAGCGGCAGCGAGGCGGCAACGAGGCGACAATGTGGCGAAACCTGGCCAGACCCACCCAGCGCACCAGGCGGCAACGAGGCAGCAACGATATGGCAACGGGCGGCAACGTGGCGAAAACTTGCCAGATCCACCTAACGAACGTGGCGGCAACGAAGCGGCAACGGGCAGCAACGCGGCAAAACCTCTCCAGACTCTCCCAGCGTATCAGGTGCCAACGATGCGGCAACGAGGCGGGCGGCAACGTGACGAAACCTGGCCAGACCCACCCAGCGCACCAGGCGGCAACGAGGCGGCAATGAGGCGGTAACGTGGCTAAACCCAGCCAGGCCCACCAAGCGCATCAGGCGGAAACGAGGTGGCAACGTACCTCGCCAGACCCACCCATCGCATCAGGCGCCAACGAGGCGGCAAAGTGGCGAAACCTCGCCCAGCGCTCCAGGCGGCAACGAGGCTGCAAATGGCAGCAACGTGGCGAAACCTCGCCAGATCTACTCACCGCACGAGGCGGCAGCGAGGCGGCAATGTGGCGACACCTCGCCAGACCCACCCAGCGCACGAGGCGGCAACGAACCGAGAACGCGACACATCCTCCCTGGACCCAACCTGTCCTTTAGGGAGACAATAAAGACCCCCGTAAGGTGAACGTTTTCCTTTTCGGCATTCGGTATTTCGACGTTGGGCGGAAGGGGGGGGAGAGGGGGGAGGCTCTGGCTCCAGACCTCTGCGTCCTATGGAGGAGACTCCACCTGCTCGAAAGAGGCGCCCCAAACAGCCAAGATCTACTCCAGGGAGGGGGGTGTGGGGGGGGAGGGTGGGTGGCGAGGGCCCGCGTCGATCGGCAAGACAATGAATCAGAAAATGATAACAAATTCGAACCCTTAGGGAGGCATGTAAGAACCAACCAGTCCCTCAGGGAGACAATCCAGAGTCCCTAAGGGCGAGCACTGCTTGGGGAACCTCCCCGGCGGCTCTCGGCCCCACCCGTCGGCCCCGCGAAGCCCCGGATCCCGTGGGCTCCCCTGGCCAGGATGGCAGCCATCGCCAGCAGAGCTTCCCAGGATGGCCCACGTGGCCTCCGCGATGGCTCCAGATGCCTCCAAGATGGCCCAAGAGGCCCTTAACATCAGGCCGGGCATGTCCTCCTACAGGCGGACTGTGGAAGAAAAGAGCGCGACAAATCGTCACCATACTAGTTTATACCATTCTTGAAGATTCCTCCTGTAGAGGGACATGCCTGACTTGCCCCAACACGGCCCATGATAGTCTCAGGATGGCTCAAAATGCTTGCGGCCCGACCTAAAAAGCCTCCAAGAAGCTCCCGAGCCAAGGGGGCCTCTGGAAAACAGCCATATTGCAAGAGCGCCCAAGACGGTCCAAGAGAGAGGCCCCCCAAAAACAGCCCCAGAAGGCCCCAAGCAAGCTAGCCCTGGCCATCGCCCGGACGTCCATTTCCTGTGTTTTTTTTTCGGTTTCGTGCGTGTTTTTTTCGCCAAATGATCAAGGATGCTCCTCGATGGCCCTCGCCGAAGGAAAAGTGCACACGTCCGAGCGATGCCAAGCCGAGGCGGCCCTGAAAGGCCCTAGGAGGGCCGCGCGACGGACGAGGGAGGCCCCAAGGCGGCCTCCGAGGGCGCCCCAGGCGGCCTGGTGGCGCCCTGAGACGGCCCACGCGGGCTCCAAGATGGCCCGAGAGACTCCCGGGAGGTCCGCAGGAAGGCCCGATCTTGCCGTCGCTCGGACGTCCGTTTCCCGTGCGTTTGTGCGTGTTTTTTTGTTGCTCGATGGTCCAGGATGGTCCTGAAGGGTCCTCGCCGAGAAAAAAAATACACACGTCCGAGCGATGCCAGGCGATAGGCATGGGAAGAGCCCCGCGACGGCCCCAAGACGGCCCCAGAGGGCACCTTCCCCAGTGCTCCCCCGGTGGTTTCCCCAGCGGCTGGCGGAGAGCGCGCAGTGCACCAGCGTGGCCACACGCTGGGACGACACTTTTCACGACACAGGCGATTCCCAAAGGCAAGAAGCAGTGGTGACTCCTCCTTCCTCCCCTCCTCCTCCTCCTCCTCCTCCTCCTCCTCCTCCGCAGGCGTCGTTAGTTTTCTGTTCTATGGGAAACGATTGCGGACGGATCTGCATTTGGAACTGCCGCCGTGCCTTTGGCACAGAGTGGTGAGTCACCAGGCCCCTTCGAGTCCATATGATTGAACATTATGATCACTGCTCGATGCCCCACCGCGGGACGTCACTGGACGTTGGAGCCAGGAGTTCACGCTGAAGCCCACCAAGAGAATCAGTCGAAAGTCGTGCTGACTACCTTGATTTACACCAGTCAGCGTTTCGACAGAGTAGGTTGGCAAATGGTACTTCAGGCGGCTGCGACAAAGCTGGACTTCCCGACCCCGTTACTGAAACTATGTTTGGCAATGTACTACGCGCCAAGACGCATCAAGTGGGAATCAGCATACTCATATCCGGTGCAAACTCAGCGAGGGGTGCTGCAAGGCTGCTCGGTGGCGATGCTCCTCTTCCAATTGGTCATGGTGCTACCTGTCGACGTCTGCGGGGAGTCTTTCGCCGTGAGCGGAGAGCTTCACACCTCGGACAAATACACGGACGACATTTCACTAGTCGTGGCCGCCCCACAACAGATAGTAGAGGAGTCGGCACGCATCGTCCAGAGGTTGGCAGTGGTATTGCGTGCTCTGGACTTGCCTATTGCCCGAGATAAGGAAGGCAACGATCATGTCGTCGGCGCCTGGAGTTGCGAAGCAAATTGCGGTGCGAGTCAGACAACATTGTTTCCGGGACTGCTCAAAGCTGGATATCTTGGGCATGGAGGCCAGAGGAGGCGACGGGATCCACTACACCTCGATTCGACGGTGAATGGCCAAGAGGAGAGACCGATTGCCCAGATTCTAGAGTCTGAATGTCATGGCCAGAGTTGGTAGGGCAGTTGCACAGCCGTCCATTGGGCCTGGCATGCTGTATGGAGTCCAAGTCATTGGGGTTTATGACGAACATGATTCGAATAAGGTGGCATCGTATGCCGACGGGAGCCTCCGCGTGGCTTGCATACCAGCTCGAACAGAGGTGCGACCAACATCCTGAAGTATTCGTGGCTGAAGTGCTATTGTACACTTGGGCCCAGATGGTACCAGATCGTGTGATCTCTGGGAAATTTTGGAGCTAGCGTGTCACAATCAAAGCCGCCGTCTTGGAGAAGCACCGGTTTGGGATGAGCAGCGCCAACACCACTTGCGGCCTCAATCAGCTCTTCCATGGCGGTCGGCCAGCGGAGTGACCCTGGACCTCAGGGTTGACCCGCCAGACTGGACTCGCACTTGAGCCAGACGGGCTTTCGTCAACGTGAAGTGGGAGGCATGGGCCACAACAGGCGATTACGCCCCAGAGGCATCGGCACCGACGCGACAAGCGTGTGGATGTTGGCTCGCCCCGCCTCAGCTGCTGCTTGTGACGCGAGAGCACGCTCAGACACGAGGGCTACCGGTCCGCGCGCGCGCTGCACCGAGAAGCACCGTCGTAGTAGGTCAATGGTCGCAGGCTCGGCTTCACGAGCACGGATGCTTGGAGGCAGGAGAGATGTCTGTGCTGGCAGGACTGCAAGGGGGCCCTCCATCAGAAATTCTGGGGCCGTCCCAGCTCGCCGGAGGAGCGCGCGCTGGCGGTGGATCAGGACATCATGGACGACGCACGGCGTGCCACCGAATGTGATCTGCTTTTCACGCGGGCCCCAGGGGAGCCCAGAATCGAATCGATAAGCCGGATCTGCAATCGCAGCCAAGTCGTGAGAAGTCGAATCGGCAGAAATCGGCAATATCGTAGGCCTCGGAAGCCGAATCGAATCGGAATCGGAATCCGTCGAAATCGAATCGAATCGAAGTGGAGGAACCGAAATGAGCCCTGGGGCCCCGATGCCGAGAGATCAACTTCCTCTGGTGCCCCCGCCCTGCTTGGGCGAGGCATGGCGCTGCGCCCATGGCGGCCAGGATGAGCTGGCCGCAGGCTGAGTCTACACTTAGGTCGGGCATGTCACCCTACAGGCGGACTTCGGAGGAAAAATGAATCATGCCCCCCCCGAATGCCCCAAGATAGTTTAAACAAATAATAGAAAATCGTCCCTGGCCGATTTTTTGGCTATCTTTTGAATATTCCTCCTGTAGAGGGACGTGCCCTGCTTGGACGAGACATGGTGCTACGCCTATGGCGTCCAGGAGGAGCTGAACACAGGCCAAGTCCACGCCGACGGCGCGGCCAAAACCCACACTGGCTGGCCAGAGAAGGAGCTCGAGCTGCACGGGGAATTGCGCTGATGGACGATCAGAGGCTGCGAGGCCTTATCACTCGGGCCAGTCGGTACCTCGTGCAGAGCTCTACGCAGTCATGATGGCCCTGGAGAATGGGGTTCTGCTGTACGCGTACACACATCTTGCATGTTGGCCATCGACGGGATCAACAGTGGCAAGCAGTGGTGCCTACATCCTCGACGGGCTCCTGTGGATCTGTGGAGTCTAGTATGGCATGCGCTGGGTGAGCACTGAGGTTTGAACGACTCGCTGAACATAGAGTCCGTGAAGAGTCACCAGACTCATGAAGACAGCAGGCGCTACCGAGGCAAGAGAAGGCAACGACTGCGTGGGCGTCGCAACCAAAACGGGCCTCTCTCCAAGCATGACATACGACCAGAAGCGCGGGCCCAGCACACTCCACTTCTGGAGCGTCTCCGACAGATAGCGGCCTGGCTTGGAAATGCTCAGGAGCTGGTGGAGACGAAGCCCGACAGAGCACCGCCGTTCTCGCGACGACCTCGCCGACAGCAGCGGCAACGACGAGGGCAGGCTCGACGTGCTGCTGGGCGAGAGCGGCACTGCCGAGACTCCACCCGCGGCACAGGCCTGAGCGTGCGCTGCGTGGGTGGAGAGGTGCGAATCTGAAGTGGCCCTGGGACACACACACACACACAGAAATACACACAGAACTACACACACATAAACAGGATTCCCCACATTTCTCCATATCTTCGGGGCTGTTGTCTTCCCCCCCACTCCCCACATTTTCGCACATCTCCTGGGGAATCGACGATTCGCTGTGTCTGTGTCTTTCCCCCTCCCCCTCCCCATATTTTCGGGGCTCTTGTCTTCCCCCCCCCTCCCCACATTTTCGCATATCTCCTGGGGAATCGGCGATCCCCTGTGCCTGTGTGTCTCTACCCCTCCCGCGGACGGCCCGCGCCCTGCGCGACCTGCCGCCGGCGGGAGGGAGAGCGCAAGCTCAGACCCTGCGCTGCCGGACCTCCCCGGGCCTCGACTTGTGTCGGGCGTGTCCCCCTGCAGGGGGAATTTCGACGAAAAATAAAACATACCCCAGAAATAATAAAAAATCATCCAAAAATAGTCTGGGGACTTTTTATTTGAGCATTTCTTGATCATTTTGAAATGTTTTTGGAGTATTTTTTTTTTTCTCCTCGAAAATCCCCCAGTAGGGGGACATGCCCGACTTAAGCCTCGACGCGCGGCCCACGGGAGCTTCTCGTCGGCCTCCCGAGCGCTCTGGGCCCAGGGGATCGCCCCAGGGAGCAGGCGCCCCGAGGATCCCGAGGAGTCCCCCGGTGGGCCGGGAGCTCCTCGTCGGCCCCTCGAGCGCCCTTGGTCCCCAGGGGTCGCCCAAGGAGCAACCGCCCCAGGGGATCCCGAGGAGCCCCCCGGTGGCCAGGGAGTGCCGTCCTGGGGCGGAGCCCCCCTCGCCTCTTCAGGGCTCTTTAAGCCTCCTCCTCCTCCTCCTCTTCTTTTTTTGACGTCAGGCAAACATGAGGCGGGGCCCGTGCCACGGGCCCCGCCTCATGTCTTCCACCTTCATATCGCGCCACGGGCCCCGTGGCGCGATGTGAAGATGGAAGGCATCGCCGACTTGGGCTGAGTGAGAAACAAATTACGCCTGGCTGGCGCAGCAGAAAAAGGTCAGGCAATTAGAACAGGCAAAGAAAAAGTGGACCTTCAGGGGCACAGGGTATGCGCTAGCCTCCTCCTCCTCCTCCCCCTCCCCCTCCCCCTCCCCCTCCTCCTCCTCCTCCCCCTCCTCCTCCTCCTCCTCCTCCTCCTCCTCCTCCTCCTCCTGCTCCTCCTCCTCCTCCCTGTGGGCCGCCCCGGGTGCCTGGGCGCCAGGCCAGGCCGATTGAGGAGTTGCCAGAGCCTTCTGTGAGGCGTGTCCAACCTCGGGTCAGATTCGAGCCACGTCCGCAGGGCGTGGTGTGCGAAGCCGCGTCGACCCTCGCCGAAAGCTGGAAGACGCGGCCCCACGTCGCGGCCCCGTCCCTTGCTTCGGCGGCCCTTCCCAGCATGGTGCTCCCGTCCGACGGGTTCGTACAGCCCGAGGCCGTCAAAGGGGCCACGCACTGTACAGGGCGGGGAAGGTCATTGGTTGCACCAGATGTGGTTCTTTCTCGGAGCAAGCTGCTAGGTCGCAACTGTTTGCAGCTCGTGACCCACAAGCACTGCAAGACAACCCTCAGCGGAAGTTGCGCGGAGATAGCCTCGCTTCTGGCCGCCATCCCAACGACGGCCGCAAGCACGCTGTCTCCGTGCCCCGTGAGCTTCTGGTTTTCGACAGTGCGGTACAATGCTTGGGACTGCATTCGAATTTGGCATAGTGTGGACGGGGCTGGCCGCGCCGAGCCTCGGGCTATGGGTGGCCGCCTCAGGTCCGTGCGTGTGGCGAGACCCCACTTGAATTTCAATTCGTTTTGTTTCATTTCGCCTCGAGGGGCTGGTGTTCGATCGTCCCTCCTGGCCTGCGTGTTTGCCCGTTCAAAGGCAGCTGGACAGATGTGAGGGGGCGCCTCGCTGCCGCGATGCTTCGGCTGGGCACTCGCGTGCCGTCCCATCCTCGTTTTGTGATTGGTTGTGCTTCCCAACTCTTTTCCCAGCACTCTTGAATCCGAACTCGGCGCGTCTCTCCGTGTGCTCGCTCCTCCTCCTCCTCCTCCTCCTCCTCCTCCTCCTCCTCCTCCTCCCCTCCTCCTCCTCCTCCCTCCCCCTCCCCCTCCCCCTCCCCTCCCCCTCCCCCTTACTCAACATGAATACTACTCTCCCTCTTCCCCTGATGACGGCTTGAAAGTATCCGACCCCCCCTGCGTACTGTTTTTTACACACAGGCTTCCCCAGAGTTGGGCTTTCGCCTGCATTTTTTCCAAAATGCTGCTCTCGCTGGGGCGCCGGCGTCATTTTCGGGCCCCGCTCGTTCCGAATCGTGCTCCCGCTGCAGCGCTGGCATCATTTCCGCCGGCGCCCGGGCTGCACGCCCGAGACGGCGCCTGGGCCAGCGCTCGGGCCGGGTCCGGAGCCGGTTCTGGCCGCCGCCGGAAAATCGAGTTCCGAGGCGACGCCGAAAAAAGGCCATTCTAATACATACAAATTTTTCTTTTGAAAATGCTAAATTTCTGCTTCCGGCGCCCGGGAGGCCTCCCAGGCCGATTCCTACGCCCGGGCCGGCGCCCGTGCCGGCGCCCGGGCCAGACGCCCGAACCGGCGCCCGGGCCGGCGCTCGGGCCGGGTCTGGAGCCGGTTCCGGCCGGCGCCGGAAAATCGAGCTCCGAGGCGGCGCCGAAAAAAGGCCATTCCAATACACATTTTTCTTTTGAAAATGCAGAATTTCTGCTTCTGGCGCCCGGGAAGGCTCCCGGGCCGATTCCGGCGTGCTTCCGCTCGTTCCGAATCGGGCTCCCGCTGCAGCGATGGCCTCATTTCCGCGCTTCCGCTCGTTTCGACTCGTGCTCCCGCTGCAGCGCTGGCGTCATTTCCCGTGCCATGCCACGGCAGGCAATGCACTGCTAGGTTGATACTACGCTTCGCGGTGCTCTTCTACGCCATGCCATGCCGTGCTCTACAATGCATCGCGTACCCTTTCGGGATCATTGCCCTGCTCGACATCCGACTGTGCGAGTAGAGAGGGGATCTGCGCCATGGTAAGGGATGGGAGGGAGGGGTAGGATGTCAGATATGACGCGAGCGCACCTAGCTTGTCCTCCTCCTCCTCCTCCTCCTCCTCCCTCCCTCCTCCTCCTCCTCCTCCTCCTCCTCCTCCTCCTCCTCCTCCCCCTCCCCTCCCCCTCCCCCTCCCCTCCCCCTCCCCCTTCCCTCCCCCTCCTTCCCCTTCTTCTCCACCTCCTCCTCCTCCTCCTCCTCCTCCTCCTCCCCTCTTGGGGCACCCCTGGGACCCCGCCAGACCGTCCAAGACCTCGTGCCTGCGAGCAGAGCTTTCCCGCTCTCTCCTCCCTCCTCCTGCCCCTTATCGTTGTCGTCCTCGTCGCCGTCGCCCTTCCTCATCCTTCCCCCGTCCTGCTCCCTCTCCTCCCCTCCTCCTCTTCCTCCTCGTGCTGCGCTGGGCGAACTCAAGGTGCTGGCCTGAAGCGCTCGTGCGGCAAAATCCGACTTGGCAGCGCGCCGCACATCTCAGGGCTGCTGCTGGTGCGGGCGCAAGTAGGGCCAGAGGACATGGTATAATATATTGGGTTCCCAGAAGTCGCGGAGTGACTAAGCAAGCGGCCTCTTCCTCCTCCTCCTCCTTCTCGTCGGCTTCCTCCTCCTCCTCTTCCTCCTCCCCTCCTCCTCCACCTCCTCCTCCTGCTCTTCGTCGTCGTCGGTGTCGTCTTCGTCCTTCCTCGAAAACCGCGCGGTCCTGGCAGCCAGCCCGCCTTGCCCAAGGCCGCCAAGCGCGCGCGTGCCACCCGCTCGCAGCCGGGCGGCCGGCGAGTGGGCGCGCTGCTGGCGACTGGGCGCGGGCTCGTCGGCGCCGCCGCCGACGCCGTCGTTGTCGTCGTCCTCCTCCTTCTTCGGAGCAGGAAACGGGGCGGGGGATACTGAACCCCTCTGCCTTCCCCCCCCCTCCTCCTCCTCCTCCTCCTCCTCCTCCTCCTCCTCCTCCTCCTCCTCCTCCCTCTCCTCCTCCTCCTCCTCCTCCTCCTCCTCCTCCTCCTCCTCCTCTCCTCCTCCTCCTGCCTTCTCCTTCCCCTCTTCCCCCTCCTCCTGCCTTCCTCCTCCTCCTCCTCCCCCTCCTCCTTCCCCTGCCTTCCTCCCCCTCCTCCTCCTCCTCCTCCTCCTCCTCCTCCTCCTCCTCCTCTTTGCTCCTCCCTTCTCCTTTCGTCTCTCCTTCTTCCTGCCTCCCTCCCCCCACCTCTCCCCTCTACCCGCAGGTCTGGCATGTGCTCCTACACGCGGATTTTGGATGACAGATAAAGAATAAGCAATAGTCAAAACAAGAACGAACAATCGTCCCCAGACATGCTTCTTCATGATTCTGGAATATTCCTCCTGTAGAAGGACATGCCGATTTAGCTCTATTCTCTCATCTTCCCCATCTCGCCCTCATCTCTCTCACATCTTCCACCTCTCATTCTTCATCAATCGTTATGCGTCTCTCTCTGTCTCTCTCTCTTTCCCTCTCTGTGTCTCTCGCTCATTTCTCACCCCTCCAGTCTCTCTACCCTGCGCTCTCCCTCCCGCGAACATTTCTCCTTCCTGGGCTCCCCCCAAACCCCAGTCGTGCCATTGCCACGAGATGCCAAGAAAACCCAAAAACTCAGGAACCGCCTCCGACTAAAGACGCGTGCCACACGCAAGCCGGCGGCCCCCCCCCCACACTCTTCCGCAAGGGACCCAGGTGGGCCGGTGCCGGTGCCCAGCAGACGGAGGGACGGCGTGCAGAGGAGGGGGAGGAGCCAGGCGAGGGAGAGAGAGAGAGGGGTGAGGAGGAGCAGGAGAAGGAAACGGACGAGCAGGACGAGGATGATGATAATGGTGATGACGACCATGATGATGATGATGATGATGATGATGATGATGATGATGATGATGATGATGCCGATGATGATGACGATGAAGATGATGCTGCTGCTGATGATGATGATGATCTTCTTCTTCTTCTTCTGCTTCTCTCCCCTTTTGGATGTCCTTGGCATGAGTTTGCTGAGCATACGCGAATCGTGCACACCTGGACTTCGGGCAGTGGGTGGCGAAATCTGCACGCGTCCCCTAGAACAAAAATCCTCCTGAGAGCCACGGCGCACCATCGGAGCGACTCAAAACGTCATAGAACTTAGTGAGAAGAAATCGCTCTGGCACCGGCCCCACAGATGCTGCACTCCTACTAGACCGACAGGGCCCTAGGAGTGATACGCGTCCAGGGCACCCAAGGCTGATCCCTGAGCTGCCCTCAACACCGATGCATGTCAGAACCCCCGCAAAAGTCTCGAGGGTTTTACAACATATGTCACTCGCTGATGGCTACTGCTCGCTGGGAGGGGTTCCCAGGTGGGGTGGCTCCTATATTCATGTAAATCTGATCCCACGTGGAGTGGTTCCGAAATTTGCTGATGGCTACTGCTACTGCTACTGCTACTGCTACTGCGCCTCCCCCTCGACCTTGTACTCCCCCAGTTCGATCAAGTCCGTCACCACGTTCCTGATGTTAGGCCCCCTCGGGGGCGCTCGTGGTTTGATGAGCGTGTGCGGCTTGGACAGGATGGCCTCCGTCAGCTCGTGGCAGATCGGGCGCAACTTGGGAATGGTAAACAGCTCGATCCGATACATGTCCGTCTTCCACCCGTTCTGTTTGAAAACTTTCTCCTGCTGGCATTCCATCGCGCTGGCCTCCAGCTGCGCCGCCGACTTCACCGTCGCGCCGTGGGCCTTGAGCTGCGCCTTTTTTCGTCGGGAACCGTGGGGCCGCCTACCACCGCCAGGCAGAGGGCGATCCAGATCTGCAAGTGCGCCCACTTCAGGTCCTGCAGCGCCTTCTGGTTGCCCGACGCCTATGCCGCCTCCTTCGCCTCGTTGCACTTTCTTCCGCCCTCCTGCATGGCCAGCAGATGTGGGTGATCTGGCGGCGCCAACGCCACCATTGTCAAGGCGCCCTGAGTCCGCCGTCCCTGCCAGTCGAACTCCGCCACCGCCTTGGCCGTGTGCGCCGTCAGCCGCTGGGGCAACTGCGTCTGATCTCGTGCTCCCCTTGCGTGTCCTCTCTTCGACTCGGGCTCCTCCGAGGCCGTCGCCGCCTGCTGCGCCTGCGTCGCCTCCATCTTCGGGAGCTGCTTCGACAGCCGGGAGAAGCGAAGTGCAATTCTCGAGCGGGCGCCAGAATTCGCGATCTTCTCGGGCGTCAGAATTACGGAGATGTGCATGAAATGCGCCCGGATCATCAGCCACAAACTCACCGAAAGGGCACTGGGGATCTTGGAGGGGGGGGGGTAAAGACGTGCAGGCCCAGCGATAGCCCCTCCCCTGCGACCTTTAGGACAGACAGCAAGTTGGGCCCTCGACGCTACATGATCACGAGCAGTTTCCAATGAGGTAAATACCCGAGAACACCGTGGACAAGTATTGCATACAATAGCTTGGCGATGTGGTTGACGATACTTATGTACTCGACGTTTATGGCATATGCGTGCTGTGTATGGTGACGCCGTGCATGGACATGCTGTGCCGTCGCCGTATACATGGTCACGCTGATCAGATCCAAAACCTCGGGCCTCAAGTTCCAGTGGGGCTCCTGGGAATCGCTCTGCGGGTCTGAAGAAGCTGGTGATTTTGTCCTGGGGCGGTTTGAATAGCATGGGGTCGTCAAACATCGCGTGCCATCCACGCCTCCGAAGTGCCTCTTTAACTTCTGGAGCAACTTTCCCAGTGCCCTCCAAGTCGAAGCAGAACCTCTTCAACGCAACTATTGCACCCCCGACGCAGTTTGCCATGTTCTGTAAGCTGTCCTCTATCTTCATCTCCGAGCGGGCTCGTGAGGGCAGCCAGGAGAACAATATTCTCCTCGGGGCTTCTCGCAATAGACCACAGCCACTGCAATCTGCGATGCAAAAGCGTGCTCTCGAAAGTCGGGATCTGGAGCTCATGCCGCGCGCCCGCGTTGGGTAGCGTGCGAGTCTCTTCCACTCCCTGGCGCGTGAACTTGTGACTCGCGCCCTGCAGGGTCACTCTAAGATGGGCCTGCTCGAATTTGTCGAAGGTGTCCAAATCTTTCTGAGTCCAGCTACGCGCTTGTCCTCCCGAGAATAGTGCACCCGAGTGCTAGTTTTTTTTTTTTTTTTTTTTTTTTTTTTTTTTTTTTTTTTTTTTTTTTTTTTTTTTTTTGTGCTTGTTTTGCTTGTGTTGCTGGTCCAGATACGCCGCAATGAATTCCAACCAATCCGTGCTGCTAGAATGCGCTGCTCAGTTCCATCATGCGTCCACCCATCACTGTTATGCCATCCTCCCAAGCGTCTAACCCAGAGCTTAGCTTCTCCCCGATATTGGACTCCATCGGCTTTGGGCAGAAAAAGTTCTTCGTTGCTTTTGGGGCTCCCACCCCGCGACGCCGAATAAGGACCTCTTTCTTATCTACGTTCTGGGCAAGCTCGGTGCTGTGCTGCACGCACCTCGCAAGGCCGCCATCCCAGAGCTGAATCTTGTGCGCGGCTTCGAGATCAGGGCCGTTGCGGCCGAGCACTGCGATGCGAGTATTGTCATCGGCGAAAGTCGCGAAACAAAGATCGACCTGCTCAACCGTCACGGGCTCTTGTACACGACAAAGCGTGGCCTCCTTCTCGGAAGCTGTAGCAGTAATCCACTCCTGAATCCGCGGGTCGTACAAACAGGTGCACCTATCGGGTGCTGAGCGGTCTCCCTGGAGGCCCCCACATCCGAGATCGAGTAATGCCCAATCCCCATCTTCGGCTTCGAGGAACGTCATCGCTCGTCGGTGTCTCTGTTTTGGGGGCGTCGCGTCGTCGTGGTTCAGCGCGTCGTCGATCGTTCGATCCAGAGCTCGATGGGATGTCGAGGCGAAAACATTGGCCATGCCGCTAAACAACCTCTACCCAGCTATCCCCCTCCGTTTACCAAGTCGCTCGTGCATCGTACGCATCATCATGATTGATTGCTCTCGTCTTCGTCCGTGTTGAAACTCAATCGAGTTATGGGGGCTCGGCAGTCGATGCTTACGCCAGCGATGATAGTGGAAGGTCTTACCTATGGGGTCGAGGGGGTGGATCACGCGCTCCGCCTGGCACTTGCGCTTCCCGTTGCCCTTGGGGGCCCTGACGGCCTCGCTGATGTGCCAGATAGGGGGTCTCCAGAGCGCCGCGTATACAGTGAACGAGCTGCTGCATTCTCTGCGAAGAAGCGCCTGGTCTGATCGGGCCAAACTCGCGGTCCTTCTGAGTGAGAGCGAGGGGCCATACTTCGCGAGGAAGTGCCCAGCGGGGAACTTGCCTCCTAGCCTTGGCTCTGAAAGGAGGGAGAGAGTGGCCTGCATATCCGCTGTGGCAGCCGTGGCCTGCGGGAACGTGAGCTCCACGGCAGGCGCGAGGACATCTATGGCGTCGGCGTCCAAACCGGTAGTCTGGAATGGGGGGCCGGCTCGTGAGAAGTCAAACAGCGATCGCGTGCCAAATCTGCCATCCTACCTGCGCGTGCGTCATCGTCATGTGGTATATATCGTGCAACCTCATGTGTACTTGTATGCGCTCCTGCCGTGCTCCTCGAAATACCTCCTGCGCCTTCATTCTTCCTTTTGGTCTCTCCTGCCCCATGTGCTGAACCCATTCAGTGCAAGTAGGTGGTGTGATACTGCGTATCAGAAATTCGTTACGCTTCGCGTATCCCCACCAGCCCATCTCACAGCAACAACTCTCGCGAAGCATGCCGACAGTCGTGTTTTTTCAAGCGTGTGTCCGCTTGGCCCCGCATATCTCCCCTGTTCCTCCTTCCTCCCGCCTCCTTGTACATCCTCCTTGTGAGGGGGGCGGGGGAAGGGCGAGGCGGAGGAGGAGGGAGAGAAAACGCTCCTCGTGATTTGAGTCGTTTGGGGTTTCTCGTCCTGGTGTGAGTCGTTCGGGCCCTTCTTCCTGGTGTGAGTCGTTCGGGCTCTTCGTGGTGTGAGTCGTTCGGGCTCTTCGTCCTGGTGTGAGTCGTTCGGGCTTCTCGTGGTGTGAGTTGTTCGGGCCCCTCATCCTGGTGTGAGTCGTTCGGGCCCCTCCTCCTGGTGTGACTCGTTCGGGCTCCTCGTGGTGTGAGTCGTTCGGGGCCCGCGTCGTGGTGTGAGTCCTTCGGGCTCCTCGTGGTGTGAGTCGTTCGGGCGCCTCGTCCTGGTGTGAGTCGTTCGGGCCCCTCCTTGTGGTGTGAGTCGTTCGGGCTCTTCGTGGTGTGAGTCGTTCGGGCCCCTCGTCCTGGTGTGAGTCGTTCGGGCTCCTCGTGGGGCCTCTTGGGGGCCTCTTGGAGCCTCGTGGGGCCTCTTGGGGGCCTCTTGGGGGCCTCTTGGGGGCCTCTTGGGGGCCTCTTGGGGCCTCTGGGGCCTCTTGGGGGCCTCTTGGGGGCCTCTTGGGGGCCTCTTGGGGCCGCTTGGGGGCCTCTGGGGGGCCTCTTGGAGGCCTCTTGGGAGCCTCCTGGGGGCCTCTTGGGGCCATCTTGGGGCCTCTTGCGACCTCCTCAGAAGCGCAAATGAGAGCTGCCCCCTGAGAAGGACAAAATGAGCCCACAACCTTTGTACAATCAATGATTTTGCTATGAGGGAAGATGAGCGCGGCCCCCTCAGAAGGCCAAAATGGGGCCAACACCATCGTACAATCAATGATTTCTGCTTCAAAGACGAGCAGAGGGGCCAAACTCCCTCCCCCCGTCGGGGCCAGAATCCTCGTGAGGGTCGTCGTTTTTTGGCCCTCCGAGGAGTCGAAATGGACCCCCCTGACACCACCCCGGACTCCCTGTCCAGGTCCAGGGGGAGGGGGTAGGGGGAGGGGTAAACCTTTCCCCGAAGGGGAAGAAAGGGGTTGAGGACAGAGAGAGCTCTCTATCTAAACCACTCACGCCCAAAGGGCTGGTGGGATTTGCGTTTTTTTTGGGGCCCCAGATTGGTGCAGGCGGTTTCTCTCCCAAGTTTCCAAACGAGGTGCCAGTTGTGGTATCTCTCAGCCTCCTGGAATTCCTGGGCCCAAGCGCCCCGAGCTCGCCGAACATCACGGCGTCGAAGTCCACGGAGTTTTCGAACAAATCCACGGAATCCCACCAGCCCTTTTGGCGTGAGTGGTTTAGAGAGCTCTCTCTGTCCTCAACCCCCCTTCTTCCCCTTCGGGGAAGGGTTTACCCCTCCCCCTACCCCCTCCCCCTGGACCTGGACAGGGGGTCCGGGGTGGTGTCAGGGGGGTCCATTTCGACTCCTGAGGGCCAAACGACCCTCGCGAGGATTCTGGCCCCGACGGGGGGAGGGAGTTTGGCCCCTCTGCTCGTCTCTGAAGCAGAAATCATTGATTGTACGCGGGTTTTGGCCCCATTTTGGCCTTCTGAGGGGGCCGCGCTCATCTTCCATCATAGCAAAACCATTGATTTTACGAAGGTTTTGGGCTCATTTTGCCCTTCTCAGGGGGCAGCTCTCGCTTGCGCTTCTGAGGAGGTCGCAAGAGGCACCAATATGGCCCCAAGAGGCCCCCAGGAGGCTCCCAAGAGGCCTCCAAGAGGCCCCCCATACGCCCCCAAGCGGCCCCAAGAGGCCCCCAAGAGGCCCCCAAGAGGCCCCACGAGGCCCCAAGAGGCCCCCAAGAGGCCCCCAAGAGGCCCCCAAGAGGCCCCACGAGGCCCCACGAGGCCCGCAAGAAGCCCCCAAAAGGCCCCCAAGAGGCACCCGAGAAGCCCCACGAGGCTCCAAGAGGCCCCCAAGGGGCCCCACGAGGAGCCCGAACGACTCACGCCAGGACGAGGGGCCCGAACGACTCACACCGCGAAGGGCCCGAACGACTCACCTCACAAGGAGGGGCCCGAACGACTTGCGCCAGGACGAGGCGCCCGAACGACTCACACCACGAGGAGCCCGAAAGGCTCACACCACGGCGCGGGCCCCGAACGACTCACACCACGAGGGGCCCGAACGAGTCACACCAGGAGGAGGGGCCCGAACGACTCACACCAGGATGAGGGGCCCGAACAACTCACACCACGAGAAGCCCGAACGACTCACACCAGGACGAAGAGCCCGAACGACTCACACCACGAAGAGCCCGAACGACTCACACCAGGAAGAAGGGCCCGAACGACTCACACCAGGACGAGAAACCCCAAACGACTCAAATCACGTGGAGCGCTTTCTCTCCCTCCTCCTCCGCCTCGCCCTTCTCCCGCTCCCCTCGCGAGGAGGATGTGCAAGGGGGCGGGGGGAAGGAGGAACGGGGGAGATAGGCGGGGCCAAGCGGACACACGCCTGAAAAAACACGACTGTCGGCATGCTTCGCGAGAGTTGCTGCTGTGAGATGGGCTGGTGGGGATGCGCGAAGCGTAAAGAATTCCCGTTCAAGAGCAGTGCGGTCGTAGGCGTCGTCATCGCGATGTTCCCAAAGAAAACTGCGAATCTCTTTATAGCGTGCTTGCGCTGCTAGCGTGTCAGCTGCCTGAGGCCATGGGCGGACATCCTGAGGCGCGCGTTCAAAGGACCTGAGAGCTTCCTCACGTACCTGCTGCGTAATTGAAATGCCAGCATTCATCAACCAACCCACGTGCAACAAAATGCCTGAGCGTGTCTGTCACCGTGTCCTGGGAGGCCCACCCGTCAAGCGCCCTGCAGAGCTGCTCGTCGATCGTGGTGCCGTTGAACGCGTGTATGGAGGGTCGACTACGTTGGCACCAACTTTGCATGAGCTTATCCATGGCCCATCTCGGTCTCGCAGCAACATCTTACACAAAAAAGTGCGGATGCTGTAAATCCATCACCACAGTACAGTGATCAACATTTCAACAGAGTGAGCGCGCCGTCTTGGTGAGCTGGAGCTTGACGCCTGTGCGATACCAGACTTCCACTTTGAGAATCGGATCCAACATCATTTTGGGAATGCCAACATAATCCGCTCGGGTCTTACTGCTACTATTTCCTGAGAAGAACGTATTGCCTGCCCCTTCAGATCGATGAGTATTCGCCAGTGCCATGTGATGCGTATTGAGTATGCGTCTCCGAATTGCTGTCGTCGGTGATTCAATACTGGGGTTTTAAGTTCCAACTGTATCACCTTCGCGCATGCCATACAACTCGTGCCCACTCTTGCTATAGCCACAATGACAATTCCCATTCATTAAGAGAATTGGTGTGCACCTCGATGGTACTTGAGCGAACAGATCCTCCACCCACTGCAATAATTTATCTCGCCGTCGTCTGCTGTTATCATCATGTGCTTCCAACGTGCTATACAGCGTAATAGCACATATATCATGGTGTGTTCGCAATTTGTATCGAACTGCGCCACCTCGGCCTCGTAGTCCTTTTGGTGGCTCCCAACATTGAATCCTCCTGTGCTCGGGGAAGAACTTGTGTGCCACCGCCAGCATGCACGCCGCTGAACTCGAGGTGCCCGTCTGCTTCACGGTCCGCTTCGTGGGTCCGCGTCGCGTCTCTGTCGGCCATTGCCACACTGTCCATCTGCCCACCCGTTCGCTGGTGTAGGTGAACGAGCTGTCGTGGGAAAGCTGCTACTGCGTCTGGCACGTGTCCGTGAGCGACACCACGTGCGCCTGCTCGAAGTAGTGAAGAAAGTCCACAAGCGCACGCCTGATCGGTAAGGCCTGCGGGTTGTACTGCACACATCGAAGTCGCCAGCCATCCTGAGCTCCTGTCGGTGTCAAAAGGGCCGCATATTTCTGCGGATGTACCTTGAGTCCGCGACACAAAATGCGCGCGGGGGGACAAGCAGTGTTGATGTCCCACGGTCTGAACAAATGTTGTGTCCGCCGCGGTGAGACAATAGCTCGAGCATGGCGGCGGCGCTATGATAATGGTGATGATGATGACGATGAGGATGATGAGCAGAGCGAGGAGGGCCCTGGGGCCCTTGCGAGGACGACGGGCGGCGGAGGCGGCGCGGAGGTCCTGCAGCACGCACCACCTGCGGGCGCCGGGGCGGCCCGGCGGGTGGCCACAGCTGGGCCCACTTGCTGCTGCCGCTGCCGATGCCGTTGCTCCCCGCCGCGTCCTCCCTGCCCTCGCCCCTCGCCCCTCGCCCCTCGTCCTGCTGCTGCTGCTGCTGCTCCTCCTCCTCCTCCTCCTGCTCCTCCTCCTGCTCCTCCTCCTCCTCCTCCTGCTCCTCCTCCTCCTCCTCCTGCTCCTCCTCCTCCTGCTGCTGCTGCTGCTCCTGCTCCCCGAGGAGGCAAACAAATACCCATGCCTCTGCCCTTCGGCCGCGTTTCCCCTTCTTGGTGGTCCTCCCGGGAGGCCCTCGCCGCCGCCGCCGGATTCGCCTCGAGCTTTGGTCAGGACGCGCCCCGGGAGAGGTCCCCGGGGGTAGCGTTAAGTCGGGCGTGTCCCCCCACAAAGGCATTTTCGACGAAAAATAAGAAGCACTCAAAACATCTTCCAAAATTGTCAAAAGATGCTCAAAAAACCAAGTCCCCAAACAATTTTTCGACCATTTTTGCATATTCCTCCTGTAGAGGGGCGGGCCTGACTTACGGGTACAGTCGACCCGTAAAATAAGGATGCGCGATAAGGATGCAAGGGCCTTGGAAGGCCGTTTCGAAGCTTTTCGAGCGGGGCGCGGCCAACGAAAGTGGTCAAGGATGGACCGATGAGGCAAGTATGCAAGAGTACCCTTGGGAAGGTTGTCCATCCTTACTATGCGGGTTGACTGTAGTGGTACCGCCGAGAAGCGAATTTGCCAGCGTGCAAGAGGCGGCGGGGAAAGGACGGACGGGACGGCCGCGGGGGATGGGGGAGAGGAAGAGGAGGCCGCTCAGGGGGCGGACGCGCCAACCCCGGAGCTGCTGGCGCGGCCAGCAGGGAGGAGTACAACGCGTGGGGGGAGCAAAGGCAACAAGACCACCCCCAGAACCCGGGGAAGGGAGAGAGACCGTGCGCGTGCAAGCGGGGGGAAGGTCTGGGCTCGCGCTGGAGCGAGGCGGCTGCCTCGGTACTCCTGCTCTCGGTCCTCCTCGCTCGTGCACGCCGGCCATCTCGCTTCTCGGTGCCCCCGTCCAGCTTTCATCGCTGGCGCGGCCAACTCTGCCCCGGCGCCGACGGGAAAGGTTTTCTCTCCTCCTCCCTCCTCGTCCTACTCCTCCCCCTTTTTCCTGAACGCCGATGGGGGCCAATGATCGCGCTCAAGAGCGGCTTGCGTGCAGAACCGTTCAACGGGCCGCACCTGGAGCGAGGCGGTTGCCGCAATACTCTTGTTTTCCCTCCTCCTCTCTCCTCGTCCTGCCCCTCCTCCCATTTTTTTGAACGCCGATGGGGGCCAATGATCGCGCTCAAGAGCGACTTGCATACAGAGCCCGTTCAACGGGCCGCACCTGGAGCAAACCGACTCCAGTGGTGTGGCTCGCAAGAGGGGCCAGGAGGCATCCAGAAGGCAGGCAGCCCATCCGACTGTGCACACAAGTCGCCACAGCACTCGCAGGACGTTGACACAGCTCAGCGGGGCACAGTGTCTGACAGCCGAGATGAGCAAGCGAACTTCCTCCCAGCTGCCCTCCACTACAGCTGCACGAGAGCGGCAACTGCACTCACCTCTTGGGAAGCATACCGACTCTCGGCGGCCAGCCCGGGGGGGAGGAGGAGGAGGAGGAGGAGGAGGAGGAGGAGGAGGAGGAGGAGGAGGAGGAGGAGGAGGAGGAGGCTGAGAGACTCAGACCTCTCGCGAAGCGAGTTAGGAGGAGGAGGAGGAGGAGGAGGAGGAGGAGGAGGAGGAGGAGGGGGAGAAGGAGGAGGAGGAGGAGCAGGAGCAAGAGAGGGCCAGGCCTTCTCAGAAGGCTCGTAAAGTTCCCTGGCCTTCTGAGAAGTTTTCCAAGCCTTCCCCAAATGCACAGACAACTTCTCAGGGGGCCCAAGGGGCTTCTGAGAAGCAACGCCGCCTTCTGGGAGGTCTCTCTCCTTCTCGCTTCCCCCCCTCGCTTGCCGCCGAGGCTCGGTCGTAGCACGTGCCCTGCATTGACCAAGCGCAGCGCTGATGGCATCCGAGACGGCCAGCGAGCGCCTGCTTTCTGGATGCCTCCTGGCCCCTCTTGCGAGCCACACCACTGGAGTCGGTTTGCTCCAGGTGCGGCCCGTTGAACGGGCTCTGTATGCAAGCCGCTCTTGAGCGCGATCAATGGCCCCCATCGGCGTTCAAAAAAATGGGAGGAGGGGCAGGACAAGGAGAGAGGAGGGAAAACAGGAGTATTGCGGCAACCGCCTCGCTCGAGGTGTGGCCCGTTGAACGGTTCTGCACGCAAGCCGCTCTTGAGCGCAATCATTGGCCCCCATCGGCGTTCAGGAGAAAGGGGGAGGGGTAGTACGAGGAGGGAGGAGGAGAGAAAACGTTTCCCGTCGGCGCCTGCACCAAGGCTGGACCTAAACGTTTTACTCCACCTGTTTTCCTATACCTCCCTGCCGAAACGAACAACAAAACACCGCTGACGTCCAGCAAAACAACGTTTAGGTCCAGCCTGACCTGCACAGGCCCTTCTCGGCACACCCGGGCACATCACTTCTTGCCAGCAACGCCCTCCAAGGACACGAGACGAAGGGGCACATGCTTACCAGGATGCTCCATCACAAGGAAGCGCCCTGCTGCAGCACATGCACCTGTGGCTTCGATCACAGTTTGCAGCAACCGAGGCTGTCCTCACTTATCCCCTTACCTTCCACCTCCTCCACCTCCTCCTCCTCCTCCTCCCACCCTCATCATCCTCATCTATATTCTGCCCTCCTCTTACTCCATCCTCGTCCTTCCTCCTCCTGCTTCCTCCTCCCTTACCTCCTCGCCTCCTCTTCCCCCTCCTCCTCGCCTGCTTGTCCCCGCAACGACGACCACTGTGACGGCGGCGGCAACGACTGACACGACAGGGGCTCGCAACGAGCAACGAGTATCGGTGACACGCGCGGCGTCTTTCAGACTGCGCCTAGTGCCCAGTAGCTTATTGCACAGAAGTGCCTGGCCCTTCTTTTTGGACAGTGACACGCCGATTTGGGCCGTGGGGCTGGCGTGACATTGCCTCTGGCTCTTCTCTCGCGATGCCAGTGGCCCTCCCGATCGAGGACGGAAACGGAGGAGACGAGGAGTCTGGACGTGGAGAATGGGGAATCGGGGGAGGAGGCAGGAGGAGAGATGGATGGCCGCCGATGCCTCCACCGGCCCTTCCCCGGACGAAGAGAAAGGACCGCGGGGCCGCGCAAGCGGCGGCCACCTCGTCGTGCGACAGCCTCACCGCCGTGTACGGCCCGGGCGCGGCCTCCAGGAAACCGTAGGTGCGCAGCAGCTCCGCGCCGCCGTGCGCGCCGTACGAGATGAGCAGCTCCTGGCTGACCACCCCAACCCAACCCGGAGACCCGAATTTCGGGTTGGGGGGGGTAAGGGTTCCCGACCCCCCCCCCACTGGAAATCGAGGGTAAATCTGAGCCTTCGGGTTGGGTTGGGGTGGTTTGGTGGGTGGTGACCGGCCGCCGGGGCCGCGCAGGCCGTGGCGCTCCCGAGCGGACCCGCCGAGCCGCAGGGGCAGGGACACGGCTGCCGGCCGGCGCAGACGCCGGCCAGCGGCCAGCGTCGCCGCCCGGGCGCAGCGGGAGCGGGAAGCTGGGCGAGGGCTGGAAAACATGCGTGGGTGCGACAGCGGTCTTCCCGGAAGGGAGAAGCAACATAATCCGGGCACACACCTCAGCGCGCCAAATCGTACAAGCGGGCTGCTTCCCCGAACAGAAAAAAAAACCGGAGCTCCATTCCAGCAGCCACGGGCTTGCCAGCCTTCGCCTGGCTTCGGAAGGACGAAGTTGCCGCGCTCCAGGTCTGGCCGGCGACCCGCGGCTGTAGCGTAAAAGTAGGTCAGGCTCCTAGCTTTAAGTCGGGCGTGTCCCCCTACAGGGAGATTTTCCACGAAAAATAAACACAACCCCAACATGCACCAAAAAGGTCCAAATCCGCCGACCCCTGAGGCGTGTGCGATATCCTTCTCAACTGGATACGTTGTCTTTCGATACATCGCACGCTCTATTCCAACGCCCTTCCCTCAACCTCGGACCACCTGCGAACTCCTCTCCGGGACCCCCCATCGCGCCCCCACCGCGTCTGACATATCCAGCCCCCTTGAGTCCTCTGGGCCTAGGTTTCTAGGAGCTGCAAACTCCTCTCCGGGACCCCCCATCGCGCCCCCACCGCGTCTGACATATCCAGCCCCCTTGAGTCCTCTGGCCATAGGTTTCTAGGAGCCCCATTTGCAAAATCCTCCCTGCAAAATCCTCGCCGGGACCCCCCACCGCGCCCCTACCGCGTCTCACATTCCCAGCCCCCCTGAGGCTTCTGGGCATATGTTTCTAGGAGCCACCTACCCTGCAAAATCCTCGCCGGGATCCCCCACCGCGCCCCTACCGCGTCTGACATTCCCAGCCCCCCTGAGAGCTCTGGGCATAGGTTTTTCCCACTCTGCAAAATCCTTGCCGGGACCCCCCACCGCGCCCCACCGCGTCTGACATTCCCAGCCCTCCTGAAGTCTCTGGGCATAGGTTTCTGGGAGCCACCTACCCTGCAAAATCCTCGCCGGGACCCCCCACCGCGCCCCTACCGCGTCTCACATTCCCAGCCCCCCTGAGGCTTCTGGGCACTTCTGCGGAGCCGCTGAGAAGGCTCGCGGAAACCCCCCTACCGCGCCCCAACCGCGTCTGGATCAGCCCCTTGAGCCTTGGGAAGGTTTCTAGGACCACCCACCCTGCAAATCTTCGCCGGGACCCACCCCACCGCGCCCCCACCGCGTCTGACATTCCCAGCCCTCCTGAGGCCTCTGGGCATAGGTTTCTAGGAGCCACCCACCCTGCAAAATCCTCGCCGCGTCTGACATTTCCAGCCCCCCTGCAGCCTCCGGGCATAAGTTTCTAAGAACCACCCACCCTGCAAAATCCTCGCCGGGACCCCCCACCGCGCCCTCACCGCGTCTGACATTCCCAGTTACCCTGAGGCCTCTGGGCATAGGTTTTTAGGAGCCACCCACCCTGCAAAATCCTCGCCAGGACCCCCCACCGCGCTTCCACCGCGTCTGACATTCCCAGCTCCCTGAGGCCTCTGGGCATAGGTTTCTAGGAGCCACTTACCCTGCAAAATCATCGCCGGAACCCCCCGCCGCGCCCCCGCCGCGTCTGACATTCCCAGCCCCTCTGAAGCCTCTGGGCATAGGTTTTAGGAGCCACCCACCCTGCAAAATCCTCGCCGGGACCTTCCACCGCGCTCTCACCGCGACTGACATTCCCAGCCCCCCTGATGTCTCTGGGCATAGGGTTCAGGAGCCACCCAACCTGCAACAATCCTGTGTCGGTAAACCCGCCACCGCGCCCCCCACCGCGTCTCCCATTTCCCAGCCTGCCCCTGAAGCCTCTGGGCATAGGTTTCTAGGATCCACCCACCCTGCAAAATCCTCGCCGGGACCTCCCACCGCGCCCCCACCGCGTCTGACATGCCCAGCCCCCCTGAGGCCTCTGGGCATGAGTTTCACCCACACTGCAAAATCCTCGCCGGAACTCCCTACCGCGCCCCCACCGCGTCTTCTGACAATGCCAAGCCCCCCTGGACTCTGGGCATAGGTTTTCTGATAGGCCATCCCACCCTGCAAATCCTCGCCAGCACCCCCCAACCGGCCCCACCGCGCCCTTGAACAGTCCCGCCTCTCTGCAGCCTTGGGCATAGGTTTAAGGTTCCCCCCAACCAGCTTCAAAATCCTCGCCGGGACCCCCCACCTCGCCCCCACCGCGTCTGACATTTCCAAGCCCCCTTGAGATCCTCTGGGCATAGTTTCTAGGAGCCACCCACCCTGCAAAATCCCTCTCTGCAAAATCCTCGCCCGTGACCTCGCCACCGCGCCCCCCCACCGCGTCCTGACCATTCCAGCCTCCCCTGAAGCCTCAGGGGATTGCTTTCTAGGAGCCACCTACCCTGCAAAATCCTCGCCGGGATCCCCCACCGCGCCCCTACCGCGTCTGACTCGCCGGGACCCCCCACCGCGCCCCCGCCGCGTCTGACTCAGCCCCCCTGAGGCATCTGGGCACAGCTATCACCCACCCTGCCAAATCCTCGCCGGGACGTCCCACCGCGCCCCCACCGCGTCTGACATTCCCAGCCCCCCTGAGGCCTCTGGGCATAGGTTTCTAGGAACCACCCACCCTGCAAAATCCACGCCGGGACCTTCCACCGCGCCCCCACCGCGTCTGACATTCCCAGCCCTCCTGAAGCCTCTGAGCATAGGTTTCTAGGAGCCACCCACCCTGCAAAATCCTCGCCGGGACACCGCGTCTGACATTCCCAGCCCCCCTGAGGCCTCTGGGCATTACGGGTTTTCTATGGAGCCCACCCACCCTGCAAAATTCTTCGCAGGTCCGACACACCGCCGGCCCCCACTCGCGTCTGACATTCCCAGCCCTCCTGAGGCCTCTGGGCATAGGTTTCTAGGAGCCACCCACCCTGCAAAATCCTCGCCGGGACACCGCGTCTGACATTTCCAGCCCCCCTGAAGCCTCCGGGCATAGGTTTCTAAGAACCACCCACCCTGCAAAATCCTCGCCGGGACCCCCCACCGCGCCCTCACCGCGTCTGACATTCCCAGTTACCCTGAGGCCTCTGGGCATTGGTTTCTAGGAGCCACCCACCCTGCAAAATCTTCGCCGGGACCCCCCACCGCGCTTCCACCGCGTCTGACATTCCCAGCTCCCTGAGGCCTCTGGGCATAGGTTGCTAGGAGCCACCTACCCTGCAAAATCCTCGCCGGAACCCCCCACCGCGCCCCCACCGCGTCTGACATTCCCAGCCCCTCTGAAGCCTCTGGGCATAGGTTTCTAGGAGCCACCCACCCTGCAAAATCCTCGCCGGGACCTTCCACCGCGCTCTCACCGCGACTGACATTCCCAGCCCCCCTGAAGTCTCTGGGCATAGGTTTCAGGAGCCACCCAACCTGCAAAATCCTCGTCGGTACCCGCAACCGCGCCCCCACAGCGTCTGACATTCCCAGCCCCCCTGAAGCCTCTGGGCATAGGTTTCTAGGATCCACCCACCCTGCAAAATCCTCGCCGGGACCCCCCACCGCGCCCCCACCGCGTTTGACATTCCCAGCCCCCCTGAGGCCTCTGGGCATGAGTTTCACCCACCCTGCAAAATCCTCGCCGGGACGCCCTACCGCGCACCCACCGCGTCTGACATTCCAAGCGCCCCTGAGACCTCTGGGCATAGGTTTCTAAGAGCCACCCACCCTGCAAAATCCTCGCCAGGACCCCCCACCGCGCTGCCACCGCGTCTGACATTCCCAGCCCCTCTGAAGCCTCTGGGCATAGGTTTCAGGAGCCACCCACCCTGCAAAATCCTCGCCGGGACCCCCCACCGCGCCCCCACCGCGTCTGACATTCCCAGCCTCCCTGAAGCCTCTGGCCATAGCTTTCTAGGATCCTCCCACCCTGCAAAAACCACGCCGTGACCCTGCCGTCTGACATTCCAGCCCCCTGAGGGCCCTGGGCCATACGTCTCTAAGAGCCACCCACCCTGCAAAATCTCGCGCCGACCGCCCACCGGCCCCACCGCGTCTGACATTCCCAGCCCCCCTGAAACCACTGGGCATAGGTTTTTCGGAGCCACCCCACCCTGCAAATCCTCCTCGCAACGGCACACCCCCCCGCGCCCCCACCGCGTTCTGACATCCCAGCTCCCTGAAGCCTCTGAGCATAATTTCGCCACCCAACCCTGCCAAAAACCTCAGCCGGGAATACCCCCCCCGAGCCCCCACGCTGTCTGACATGCCCAGCCCCCCTGAAAGCCTCTCGGCAAAGTTTCTCCCACCCTGCGAAATCCTCGCCGGGCTCCACCGCGCCCCCGCCGCGTCTGACATTCCCAGCCCCCCTGACGTCTCTGGCCATAGGAGCCCCCCTGAGGCCTCTGGGCATAGCTTTCACCCACCCTGCAAAATCCTCGCCGGAACCCCCTACCGCGCCCCCACCGCGTCTGACATTCCCAGCTCCCCTGAGGCCTCTGGGCATACGTTTCTAGGAGCCACCCACCCTGCAAAATCCTCGCTGGGACCCCCCACCGCGCCCCCACCGCGTCTGACATTTCCAGTCCCCCTGCAGCTTCTGGGCATAGGTTTCTAGGAGCGACCCACCCTGCAAAATCCTCGCCGGGACCACCCACCGTGCCCCGCCGCGTCTGACATTCCCAGCTCACCGGAGGCCTTCTGGGTATAGATTTTCATCCACCCTGCAAAATCCTCGCCGGAATCCCCTACCGCGCCCCCGCGCGTCTGACATTCCCAGACCCCCCCTGAGGCCTCTGGGCATAGGTTTCTAAGAGCCACCTACCCTGCAAAATCCTCGCCGGGACCCCCCACCGCGCCCCCGCCGCGTCTGACATTCCCAGCCCCCCTGAAGCCTCTGGGCATAGTTTCTAGGAGCCACTCACCCTGCAAAATCTTCGCCGGGACACCGCGTCTGACATTCCCACCCCCCCTGATGCCTTTGGGTCATAGGTTTCTAGGAGCACCCACCCTGAAAAATGCCTCGCCGGGACCCCCCACCGCGCCCCCACCGCGTCTGACATTCCCAGCCCCCCTGAGGCCTCTGGGCGTAGGTTTTTAGGAGCCACCCACCCTGCAAAATCCTCGCCGAGACCCCCCACCGCGCCCCCACCGCGCCTGACATTCCCAGCTCCCTGAGGCCTCTGGGCATAGGTTTCTAGGAGCCACCCACCCTGCAAAATCCTCGCCGGGACCACCCACCGCGCCCCCACCGCGTCTGACATTCCCAGCCTTCTGAAGCCTCTGGGCATAGGTTTCTAGGAGCCACCCACCCTGCAAAATCCTCGCCGGGACCTCCCACCGCGCCGCCACCGCGACAGACATTCCCAGCCCCCCTGAAGTCCCTGGGCATAGGTTTCAGGAGCCACCCAACCTGCAAAATCCTCGTCGGTACCCCGCACCGCGCCATCACCGCGTCTGACATCCCCAGCCCCCCTGAGGCTTCTGGGCATAGGTTTCTAGGAGCCACCCACCCTGCAAAATCCTCGCCGGGACCCCCCACCGCGCCCCCACCGCGTCTGACATTCCCAGCCCCCTGAGGCCTCTGGCTATAGGTTTCTAGGAGCCACCTACACTGCAAAATCCTCGCCGGGACCCCCCACCGCGCCCCCACCGCGTCTGACATTCCCAGCCCCCCTGAAGCCTCTGGGCATAGGTTTCTCCCACCATGCAAAATCCTCGCTGGGAGCCCCACCGCGCCCCCACCGCGTCTGACATTCCCAGCCCCCCTGACGTCTCCGGCCATAGGTATCTAGGAGCAACCTACCCTGCAAAATCCTCGCCGGGACCCCCCGCCGCGCCCACACCGCGAGCGACACACCCAGCCCCCCTGAGGCCTCTGGGCATAGCTTTCACCCACCCTGCAAAATCCTCGCCGGAACCCCCTACCGCGCCCCCACCGCGTCTGACATTCCCAGCCCTCCTGAGCCTCTGGGCATACGTTTCTAGGAGCCACCCAGCCTGCAAAATCCTCGCCGGGACCTCTCACCGCGCCCCCACCGCGTCTGACATTCCCAGCCCCCCTGAAGCCTCTGGGCATAGGTTTCTAGGAGCCACCCACCCTGCAACATCCTCGCCGGGACACCGCGTCTGACATTCCCAGCCCCCCTGAGGCCTCTGGGCATAGGTTTCTAGGAGCCACCCACCCTGCAAAATCCTCGCCGGGACCCCCCACCGCGTCTGACATTCCCAGCCCCCCTGAAGTCTCTGGGCATAGGTTTTTAGGAGCCACCCACCCTGCAAAATCCTCGCCGGGACCCCCCACCGCGCCCCCGCCGCGTCTGACATTCTCAGCTCCCTGAGGCCTCTGTCCATAGGTTTCTAGGAGCCACCCACCCTGCAAAATCCTCGCCGGGACCCCCCACCGCGCTCCCACCGCGTCTGACATCCCCAGCCCCTCCGAAGCATCTGGGCATAGGTTTCTAGGAGCCACCCACCCTGCAAAATCCTCGCCGGGACCCCCCACCGCGCCCCCGCCGCGTCTGACCCAGCCCCCCTGAGGCATCTGGGCACAGCTATCACCCACCCTGCCAAATCCTCGCCGGGACGCCCCACCGCGCCCCCACCGCGTCTGACATTCCCAGCCCCCCTGAGGCCTCTGGGCATAGGTTTCTAGGAACCACCCACCCTGCAAAATCCTCGCCGGGACCCCCCACCGCGCCCCCACCGCGTCTGACATTCCCAGCCCCCCTGAAGCCTCTGAGCATAGGTTTCTAGGAGCCACCCACCCTGCAAAATCCTCGCCGGGACACCGCGTCTCACATTCCCAGCCCCCCTGAGGCCTCTGGGCATAGGTTTCTAGGAGCCACCCACCCTGCAAAATCCTCGCCAGGACCCACCACCGCGCCCCCACCGCGTCTGACATTCCCAGCCCCCTTGAGGCCTCTGGTCATAGGTTTCTAGGAGCCACCCACCCTGCAAAATCCGGGACCTCCCACCGCGCTCCCACCGCGTCTGACATTCCCAGCCCCCCTGAAGCCTCTGGGCATAGGTTTCCAGGAGCCACTCACCCTGCAAAATCCTCGCCGGGGCCCCCCACCGCGCCCCCACCGCGTCTGACATTCCCAGCCCCCCTGAAGCCTCTGGGCATAGGTTCTAGGAGTCACCCACCCTGCAAAATCCTCGCCGGGACCCCCCACCGCGCCCCATCGCGACTGACATTCCCAGCCCCCCTGATGTCTCTGGGCATAGGTTTCAGGAGCCACCCAACCTGCAAAATCCTCGTCGGTATCCCCCACCGCGCCCCCACCGCGTCTGACATTCCCAGCCCCCCTGAAGCCTCTGGGCGTAGGTTTCTAGGAGCCACCCACCCTGCAAAATCCTCGCCGGGAACCCCCACCTCGCCCCCACCGCGTCTGACATTCCCAGCCCCCCTGAGGCCTCTGGGCATAGGTTTCTAGGAGCCACCCACCCTGCAAAATCCTCGCCGGGACCCCCACCGCGCCCCCACCGCGTCTGACATTCCCAGCCCCCCTGAGGCCTCTGGGCATACGTTTCTAGGAGCCACCTACCCTGCAAATTCCTCGCCGGGACCACCCACCGCGCCCCCACCGCGTCTGACATGGGGACCCTCACCGCGCCCGCCACCGCGTCTGACATTCCCAGCCTCCTGAAGCCTTTGGGGATCAGTTCTCCATGGCCCCCCCCCCTGCCAAATCCTCGCTGGGACCACCCACCGCGCACGCCACCGCGTCTGACATTCCCAGCCTCCTGACGCTCCTGGAGATGAGCGCGCAGCTCTCCTGGACCCACATCCAGACCGGGCGCGCCCCGCGATCCATGCCCGCCGGGCTTTCCGCTTCACGCTGGCTTTTTCGCAGTCGCTACCACGTCATGCGACCGGTCTGCCACGCGCTTCCGACTGCGCTCCTGTTCTGCATCGCATACGTTACACCGCTGTGTTCCGTCCGATCTCTTCGTCGCCCGCCTTGACAACCACGCGCTGAATCCCGCCTTCTCGACGCAATTTTTACACTGCACGCACTTCCAATACCCGCGCGGCGGTCGCGCTCCCTTCACGCACGTTTCGCACTTGCGTTGCTTGTCGGCGACGTCGTTCCACATTCGCCTGGAAAATGCGCCCTCCGGCTGTTCCTCGCCGCACCCCACGCACGACTTCACCTTCGCCTTCTTGACGCACGTTTCACACTTGCGTTGCTTGTCGGCGACGTCGTTCCACATCCGCCTGGAGAACGCGGCCTCCGGTTGTTCCCCGCCGCACGCCACGCGCGACTTCACCTTCAATTTCTCGTTCCTTTCGGCGGCAGCCCGCTCGACGCACTCCGTGCATTTTCGCGGCCTGGGCCTCTCTTCCCACATTGAGCCCGAATACATGTCGCGCGGTTTCTCCTCACCACACCGCGAACACTTCTTCCGTTCCTCCTCTCCCCCCCGCCGCTCCCCCTCCTTCCTCTCCTCTCTTTTGCACTTGTCGCACCAGCGCTCCACGTCATCGACGTCGCGCTTCGCGAAATGGGTGGCGATCTTGCTCTCCTTGCAGCGACCACATACGAGGTGCTTCTTCAGTTCTTCACACTCTGCGCACATTCCTCCCCTACCTCGGCTGTTCCCCGCCAGTTCCCACTGATACCGCGCGAACGCCTCTTCGTATTTCCGATGCTCGCACACGCGGCAACTCCGTCTCTCGGGGCAGTCCACGCAGCGCCGCGTGGTCAGCTTCGACGGGTGGTGCTGTGACGCGTGGAAAGCCTCCTGGCACTTCCATAAACCACAATCCATGCATTGCCACGGCGTGCCCGCCCTCTTCTTATCTTCCAGGCACACGGTGCACACGCGGAGCCCGTCTGCGCGGCTCCACTGCCCGATCGTTGGGTACATATTCTTGTACTTCGTGCACCCGCAGACCGCGCACCTGCCGGACGGCATGAACTCCTTCTCTATCGCCTCCCAGTCCAATTCTTCTCCGCGCAACGTGCGCAGCAGCAAGTCCGGGCCCTTCCGCTCGTCCTTCTTCTGATACGGCGCAATGTCGAAAGGGCGAAAGATCAGCATATCCTCGCGGCGCTGCACCCGCGTCAGTGCCACGTAGCTCGACAGAGGTGACGTGCCCCCGCCGATGCTCAGGTCCACAATGACACCCTGCTTGAACGTCTGCCCCTGCGCCGCATGGGCCGTCACTCCGAAGGCTGGCGCTAGTGGGAACTGCCGTCTCTTAACCTTGAGTCGCGGATGCGGACGGCCCTTGTCCACGAACTAATCCTTCTTCTGCGGAACCACGGGGTACAAGCCGGGTGTCGTTAATCCCTCGATCGTCCACGGGCACGGCTTCCTGCCGCCGTTCCCGTCATCGCCTTCGTCGAACAACACGAAAATCACTTTTGGCGTCTTCTTCACAATGGTCTCCCCGCCGCGCGTGACTAGATCATTGACGTCGTCCCCGTCGCATACCCAGGATTGCACCCGGCCAACGCGACCGCGCAGCAGGTTTTTGTCCTCGCTTCGATCGATATGATCGGTCAGAGCGACGGGCATGCATTCAGCGATGGGCAAGAAGCCGTACAAGTCCCCGCTCTCCTTGTCGTGTCGTTGCAACCATGCCATCTTCTGCTGCGGCAGATCCGGCCGCTCCCGCAGCGCCTCTGGCGTGGGCGTATCTCGCGCAGGGACGTACACCATCGGCTTTCTGTGCTTGCGTGCGTACTGGGACGCACGGAGCTTGTTCGCCTCGTACTTCACGTCGTTGTTTGGGAACACACCCGGCGCCACGAGGAACTTGTCTGACTGCAGACGCGGGTCGTCGGGACCATCCACCACGAGCTTGCGGCGCGCGCGTTCCGCTCTGCACACCTTGCACTCCTGCTCGCGGATATCTTTCGGCGTCACGGGGCGTTTCCGTCGTTGCCCCGCGCTGGACGACGCTGCGTCCCTTCCGCCACTGCACAATTCCCGACACGCTCTATTCCCGCAGCATACGTCCCCCCCCCCAACCAGCTCCCAGGAACGGTCGTATGCCGGCCGTGCAAGAATGCGTGCGCATCCGCCGACAGCGACCCTCTTCGGAATTCCTCCTGCACCTCCTTCAACCAGGCGTCGTCGCAACGCTCGCACTCTTCCAGCTCTGTCACGCCCTGAATCCCACACTCGGCTCCGCCCCAGAGAAGCGATTGCCCGTGCAACACGGGTGGCAGCGAAGTGTACTTGCGCGCAGCCGAAATCCGCTCCGTGGGGACGTCGGCGAGGAAGCCTCCATCAGGGGGGGCCAGCTGCCAGAAGTCACCACTCAGCACGACGTTCAGGCCGCCGAACGGGCGTGGAACGCCATCGTCGCCGAGTTTCGTCGTGCCCACGGCCCGAATGACCACGCGAAGTTTCGCGTCCACTTCTGCTAGCAGTCTAGCGCTCACCATGCTTATCTCATCGATAAAAAGCCACCTCCACTGGAGCAATCGCTTCGCAGTCTCGTACTGCAACTTCACGTCCTCTCCACCCTTCTCTTCTCCCCGCTTGATGGCCGGAATGCCACACGCATGGTGGATGGTGTCGCCTCCCAGCAGCTGAGCCATGACGGCCTGCAAGGCGGTTATCTGGAAGTGCACTCCGATAGTCCATTTCATCACCTTCTCAAACAACTCATGACGAATAATGCGAAGCACGTGCGACTTGCCGGTACCAGGGCCCCCGTGCATGCACCGCTGCAGCGGCTCACCCATGCTGCCGTCCTCTCTTCCTTCGCCGTCTATCTCACGCATTACTCGAGACGCCACCTTCTTGACCATCTCGAACTGCTTCGCGTTCACAACACGCCGCCCCGTGTGCTTGTCCACCCGGAACTCTAGGTCCCTGAGCCACGCGGCAACGTCCTCCGATGTTGCCGCCTGGCCAGCGACGACAACTGCGCCGTCAGCCTCCGCCAGTCGGTCTGCCATGGATTCCTCCTTGTTCCGAGATTTGCGCGCCTCCCTGAGTACCTGCTCAACGTCGCAGGGCTCCTCCGCGGGCCATGCACTCAGAATCCCGCTCAACGGCGTTTCGCCATCGCGAAGCCCCCACACCTGTTGCGCGACACTCATGCCTCCTTTCGAATTTTCGTAGTGGGAGACGCTTCCAGCTCCCTGCCCAGGGTCTGCGTCGTCCTCGTCGCTGCTGCTGTCTCCGTCGCCGTCCTTGCGCCTCTTCCCGCCCGCGCGGGACTTGAGCGCCTCGTCGAGCTGATCGAAGCCCACGTCCAACTCCTCGTCGCTCACGTCCTCGTCGGTCCCATCCCCCGCTTCGTCCGTGTCTCGTGGCCGCGCGCGGTGCACACTGAGGAAGTTGCCCACGTACCGCGCGGCCTCCTTCGTCTGCACCCCCCCGTCCAGCCACGCCACCATGGCCGCGTCCCATGTCGTCGCATCCCCGCGCAAGCTCCCTGCGAACACGACGTGCGCGTCAGCCGCGTCGAGCCTCAACGTCCACGGGTGGAAGTACGTCATGACAATGCGCGCAGATCGCTCCGCTTCTCCAGGACGTCCGCGTGGCACGGGCGCTCCGAAAAAGGTTGGCGCCTTGGGTCTTTTGTTCCGCTTGAGCACCCGCGTGTGACGAAGGTGGGCGCACCCGTCTGTCTCTGGATAAGGCACCCAATCGACGCCTCCTCCTTCCTTCACCACGTAGTCCTCCCCAGGTTCCAGGTCCTGCTCCAATTTCGGGTTCTTACAATTCTCCCGCACCTTCTCCTTGCCCTTCTGCGTCAAGACGGCGTGATGCCGGGGATGTTCCGCATCCCCGAGTCTCGTCGGGAACGACACCAAAACCGGCGTCCAGAACGTCGCGAACTCGTACGGCGACAAGTGCCACAGGTCGGGCACGTTCGGTCGCAGCCCATATAACATGGCCACGTCTCGGAAGGTTACCTTTCTGCGTCTCCTCTGCCGCATGTCCACCTCAGCAAACTGCGCTTTGCGCCCGCCTGCCGCGCGGTCTGCCAGGCGCTCGACCACGTCCACGTACTCGCGTCCATAAAAGGCTGTGGTCTGACACGACTTCAGTGATTCCGCCGCAGTGACATCGTCCTCTCTCGCGAACGCCCTCAGGTTCGCACGCTCCACTTGCCCCCGCGCGATGCCCTTGCCGTACGCGTCGCTCATGATTCGGTTCGCTACTCTCTTCCCGATCCGATTCGAATTCTCGCCCTGCAGCTGCCTGCCAAGCTTCTCTATCCCCTTGCAGCACTCCTTCACTTCGTGAAAAGCCATGGGTAGCCGCTTCGTGCAGTAGTCGCAGGCGTACCCTGCCTGTGCGTCCTGTGCCATCTGCGCGACCTTGATGATCGCTGCGTCGTTGAGCTTCTTATCGCACGCTTTCCCGCACGTACAACAAACATCTGTGATGGGGAACCGATACGGCAATTGCACGTCGGAATTGAAACGTTGCGCGGACAACATGCATGGATGCGTGCCGTTCAGACTCGCGTGATTCATCGGCCCGTGCAGGCTTCCCGTTCGATTCCGTCGCCCTGCCCCTGGCATGTCCAACGCTGCCGCCTGCCCTGGACACACGACGATGGCGCGGCCAATGAGCTGCGACGTCCGCGGAAAGTCCGCCTTGCACAGCTTCGGGTTGTCCTTCCGGCGGCACGCCGGCAGGGGCACTCGCCCTCAGTCTCTTCGTTCTTCAAATGCACGTGGTTCTGCTTCCTCTCCTGTAGGTACTGCACGTCTTCGTCCAGGTACGCTTTCTCCCATGCCACCGCGTCGTCTGCTGCCTCCTTCTCCGTTGCTGCAGGGTCAAGTGTGCGACACTGAAACGCGGGCCTGCAAATGAGACCGCCCTCGTTTTTGAACTCTGGCCACGCCTTCTCTGCCTCACCCAACTTGCCAATCATCTCCTCCGGCGCCATCTGCTCCGAATAAACCTGGCGGCACACGCGACTCTTATACTCCAAATAATCCTCCACGATTTTCCTTCCACGGCCTTCCACCTCGTCGCGGACGATTTCGAAGACCTCTTCCAGCGGTGTGTGCTGGTGCAGGCACTGGATGAATACCTGGCAGTGCGCGTGGAGAGACCCCGTGGACTTCTGCGCTTCGATCGACACGTAGTAGGCATCAACGCGCCCGAACGCACCCCCACCAGGCTCAGCATTACTCCCGAACAGGTCCTGGCAAGGTGCCCCGTTCTCCGCCTCGTTGCACCGGGGGCAATTCGGACAGGTCCGCACGCCAAACAAGTGACGGAGCGTCGCGTCCACCCGGATACGGAAACCGTCCACGCTGGTCATGGGATCACTCGCAAGAATTCGTCTGCGCTCGGTCCATGGCGGCACTCCGGCCTCCCCCGCGGCCATTGGCAGATCCATCTGCAGCCCGTCCATGTCGGGGGCTACGCGCGGCCAACCCCGACCTCCCGCCAGCCGCGAATGCGCTTCATCATCAGCTGCTTTGTGCACGGGGTCCTGCCGTCGAGTGCGCGAGAGTCTCACCACGAGAAGATTGTGACCTTCGTCGGGCGAGAAGGTTACGAATATGGGAACGCCGCACCGCACTCGCAGCGCGTTCGTCTCGAACCGCATGACTCGACGCGCTTCCTGCGTCCCAGGCAGTCGCCGCGAAGTGTGCTCTATGTGCGTCAGCAGCTTATGGGCGGCCTTGCCCAACTCTGGCACGTGCCGCACTTTGGTCACGTCGCCGTTTACTTTCTGTTTCCTATTGTTGATGTCGACGTACCACCCATCGAGCGCGCGATAAATCTGCTTCGCTCCTTCAGCGATTTCCCCGGGAGTGAGCTGTTCGACCTCGCCTGATTCGTTCGCTGACACATACGTGAACCACGTCCTGCTCAGGTTCACAGCCGATCGAAACACAAGGTTCCTCGACACGAATCCGAAGTGCCAGTCGCGGGAAATCTGGCTCTCCACGCGACGACTCATTATCCTTGCCCACAGCGGCAGCTCCACCCGCGGCGCCTCGTTCCCCCGTCGGTGGCGCGGGCGCTTCATAAACTCTGGGCAGTCTGGCATTCCCGCGCAATACTTAAACAGAAACGCGAACGCGACGCCGAAATACCAGGGCTCGAACTGATCCATCATCACGTTTCCAGTGCGCACGCGGAGCCGATCCACGCGCTGCCTTTCGCGCCCAGCCTGAATCAGCATGTCGCGCTCCACTTCTTCCCGCGCCGTCTCATCCGCGCCAGAGGCCGTTTCCTCAAGGACGCGCCCGCGTTTACTTGCCCGTCCTGCCTTCTCGCCGCCTTCTTCGTCCTCGCTGGAGTTCGACGCGTCGTCGGCCCCGCCGCGCGCGCACTCCTCATCTAGCCGTTGCACGAAGTTCCGCGCGGCCTCAATCCGCTGTGCATTGATGTCTATCTCGTCGAAACTGCTCTTCTCACACACCACAGCGTTCGCCTTCGTGGTCTCCAAAATTTCTCCCGCCTCACGTAGCCCGTCGGGCCTCGGCACGGGCGTCGCCGCCTTCTGCATTTGGATCTTCTCAAGCGCGTCGTCCAGGGGCACCAGGCGCATGATCTCCTGTGGCACGCCTTCCTCCGGAAGCTCCATGGCTCTTTTCCGGACCTCCTCCATGTCCACGTTTCTGCACGCGCGATGCCCGCGGGCCCTCGCCCCCTCGATGAGGTCCACGACCACCTTCCTGCGCGCCAGCGCCTGGTGCACGAACGTGGACATGCTCTCCGCAGTATCGCTGTCGCCGCCGGACTTCAAGATCACAGACACGATGCCTGCAAACTCCGCGCCCTTGCGCGGAAGTGCCGGCGCATGCCCGTCCGCGGCAGCCTCATCAGCGGCAGCCAACTGCGCTAGAACGTCCGTCCACGGCATCGGGAACGACGTCGCGTTTCCGCGAGCCGCCATGCGGACTTCGTTCGCACCCACTTCCATGTCAAAAGACCGTTCCTTCCGGTATCGTTTCTCCAGTGTGAAGCACACCATGGATGTGATGCAGACTGAGGCGCAGATCATCTCCAATATTGTCACTTTCCTACCGAATAGTTCCTCCGGCGAGTAGAAAGCCATCATATCATTGGCAAGCGCAGCGGGGGGCAGCGTCGCCTCCCCGCGAACGCCCACCATCGCGTTCTTACGCTCACCGAAAAGCGGGGCTTCACAACATCTGCACGCCGTGTTCTCCAAGTGCCACGTGCCACTGCCGCACCGCATGTCCTCTGGGCAACAGAGCACGCTGACGGGCCCCTCTTCTGATGGAACCGTCACTTGCCAATCATTAAACTCCTCCATTCGATCTCGGAGATGAACGCCGCTGCTACCCTCCGTTTCGGCTCTCACATTGCCGAACCGCTCCACGTACGCGTCCACCGACATATGCCCCCTCACAAACGCGCCTGACAGCCCGAACAAACCGTCCGCGTTGGGACTCACCGCGCGCCATTCGATCGGGCTCCCTCTGCGCCCTTCAACGCGCGGGAACTTCCGTGCGCACACCATGCACACGAGAGAGTCGACCGCACCCTCGCGCAGACTCCGCGCATACTCGAGCAAACATCGACGATCGATCGCCAGTGCTGCAAGCGGCGCGCCCGTTCGAACTTTCCATGCAATGGCCTCGTTGTAGGCGGACCAGTACTGTGTCTCTCTACGCCTCGTCTCGTCTTCTTCGTTGCATGCGAGCGCCTCCGCGACGTCCCGGAGATCCCCCGCGTGATTGCTTACCACATGATCCTGGAGCTCCGCGTTGCTGGACCCTCTCCACCCGCAGCTGCTGAAAGCGCAGTGTGCTTGCGGCAGCTCGACGGCACCTCGTGAGAAGATGGCCTCGTCTTTCAACGATGCTCCGTGCACGGAGACCGCTGGCACGGTGGGGTGCTCTTTCGTAAGCCCTGCGGCCGCCCGTGGACCGTCTTCTCTGCCCCCCCGACAGGCATCCGCGGACGCGCGGCCGTTCTCGACGGCGCGGACGCGGTGCACGTGCGCTGCCCCCGCTGGCTCCGTGTAGTCGTTCTCCACCACCTGTGCCTTGCTCTGCTCCGTGCCGCTCCTGCACGCACCGCCCGCGCTGGCGTCCGCCCCTGCACTGCTCGGCCGCGCCGTCCTGGAAATCACTACACCCTCGGACTCTTGACCATCATTGGCCGCGCTGGCCCTGCCTGCATTGCGCGCCGTCTCCGGCCGGCTCACCGGGTGCGGAGAAGGCGGAGGGGGCGCCGCCTGGTCGGACGGCTTCACCCCACCGCCATTCTCACCGGCGGACGTCTGAGCGCTGGCGCCCCCCTCGGCCGGCGCGCTTTTCCTCGTTGAGCGCGCTCGTTTCGCCGTCGTCTGCAATCCTGCGCTGTCGTGCTGTCCTGTCTCTCCCTCGCCTCCTTCCCGTTCAGTCCGTGCTTCCTCCTCCTCCTTCACCGTTGGGCCTGGAGGATTGCTCAATGAAGATCATTCGTGATGGATCAAGATCTGCCACCGTGCCTTGGGCACAGAGTGGGCGTGTCCTCCGGTCGTCTGCCTCAGACCTGCGTGACTGCTTCAGAAACAACAATGCCACAAGACGGGCAAAGAGGGCCCCAAACAGCGCCCACGGCGAATTAAATCGAGCCGACGACGACGCGGCCGCCACAGGCAAGAGTCTATCCTCGACGCCCACCGCGGTGACGGAGAGCGCACCGACCCCTGAAAACAAACAACACAAACCCTCCTTTGGGGTCGGCGGCAGAGGCGGCAGCCTTTAGATTACCCAAATTAGACGCAGAAGACTGGCGCCGATATCCCGGCGGGTGCTAGTGGGGATACGCGAAACATGACAAATACTGAAACCGTCCGCCTCCTCCGCCTCCTCCTCCTCTTCCATCGCCTCCCCACCTCCTCGCCCTCCTCCGCCTCCTCCAAGAAGATAACGGACATGGGAGGGGAAGACGGAAGAACGACCCCCCCCGCGTGAAGCCTGAGCGTCCAAGTCTCCCTGTCGAGTATCAAGCCGCAGTCGGGACAGCACAGGATCCGCAAGGTGGACCTCCCCTCTTCTTTCATTCCATCTCCTACCTCCCGCCCTGTAAGCAAATGCTCACATGACTATGGTACCGCTCGTGTGATGTAGGTCCCGGCCCCCCTCGAGCAGTTAGAGTTCTACGAGAATTTCAAAACTGCCCCAGATCGACTCCAATTAAGGCACACTTCCGAACGTGCAGGCGTAGATAACACGATCGTCGAATCCACGCTAGAACATGCCGCGTTTTATGTTGCGAAATGTACGAACATTGTGCCATGCGATACTGCTCTCCCGTGCAGTCGCGTACAACAGCGCCGTGTGTGAACACACACACAGAGAGAGAGAGAGAGCCGGGAACAAACAGGGAGTGATATAGAGAGTGAAATAACGACAGGGAGACAGAGAGAGAGAGAGAGCCGAGAACAAGAGAGAGTGAGAGACAGAGAGTGTAAGAACGACAGAGAAACAGAGGGTGGATAGTTGCATGAGTATGGAAAGAAGCAGGCAAAGGCAAATCAACCCCCTCGGCAACCTATTGCGACAATATGCGATGCGATCTTGGTATGGTGCGCTGTGCTATGCCACGGTGTGTGGGCTGCCCGTGCGTGACGTTGATACTGCCATGTTGGCACGCGCTTGCGGAGAGGAGGCTACGAACGAAACGAACCCTTTTTTACGCATATCATGTGATGTGCCAGGTTCTCTCTCTCTCTCTCTCTCGCCCTCTTTTTTGTTGTTTGATTATTGTTTGTGTTGTTGTGAGTTGTTGTTTGTGTTGTTGTTTGTGGTGTTGGTTGTTGATTGTTTTGTGCTGTTTGTTGTTTGTTTTTTTGTTGTTTGGTATCTCTCTGTCTCTCTCCTTCTCTCTCTCCCCCACTCTCCCCCCTCGTGAGCACCAGAACTCGAAGCAACAATTCTTCGGGCCCTCAACCATCCCGTGCAACTTCGAGACCGCGATGGCGAAGCGAGAGTTGGGTCTGGCAAGCCGCTCGTTAATCTGACACATTGGTACGAAAATCAAGGTCAGGAGAATCCACACGAAGATGACGTTGAAGCCCATGAAAACTCCAAACTCCCGCAGGGGCTTCAGGACAGATGCGATGTTCGCGAAGAAAGAAATCGCAGTGGTCGCCGAGGTCGCAAAAGAGGCCTCTGCGCGACAGCACAGCATGCGCGCGCTTAACATACGCCTGCAATGATCTCTCACTACGGGGAGGCCGAGCTACTTGCATGACAATGATGACGGCGATGCTGGTGGTGATGATGATGCTGCTGATGCCGATGTTAATAACGGTGGTGGTTAATCCCACCAGCCCTCTAGGCGTAGGTGGTTTAGGGAGTTTTCTCTTCCATCTTCCCTTCTTCCCCTTCGGGGAGGGGTTTACCCCTCCCGCTAACCCCCTCCCCTGGACCTGGACGGGCCCGGTCGCGAGCGGTCAGAGTGTCCAAGATGGCCCAGGATGGCTCCATGAACGCCTCGGATAGTCCAAGATGACTTCCAAGATAGCTCAAGATAGCCTAAGATGCCGCAAGATGGCTCCGAAGATGCTCCAAAACGCTCTCAGAACGCTCCAAGACAGCTCCAAGAGGCAAATTTGTTCCCCAAGGAGGTCCCCCCAAAAGCCAAATTCCTTCCAAAACCTAAGGAAAACCAATGATGTTCGGCTTCTCGCCTTTTCGCTTCCGATGGCCATCTGAGGCCTCAACATGGCTCCAAGAGGGGCCAAGTAGGCCCCAAGAGGGGCCCAAGAGGGCCCCAAGACGGCCCCAAGAGCGCCCAAGAGCGCTCCAAGAGCGCCCCAAGAGGGGTCCAGGCGGCTATTTTGGGAGTTCCCGAGGGGCAGGGTTAATTAGGGAACCCCCCTTCTTTGATCGATCGCTTCCAAGATGGCCCCAAAGGGCGCCCAGAAGGCCCCCAAAGGCGCCAACATGGCCCCAAGAGGCCTCCAAGAGGCCCCCAAGAGGGCCCCAAAAAGCCCCCAGGAGGCTCCAAGAGGCTCCCAGGATGGTTCCAAAAGGCCTCCAAGAGGCTCCAAGAGGCCGCCATGAAGCTCCAAGAGACCCCCAAGAGGCCCCAAGAGGCCTCCAACAGGCCCCCAATAGCCCCCCAAGGGGATTCAAAGCGGCCTCAAGAGGCCCCCCCCGAAGCACCCAAAACGCCCAAGAGCCCCCATTGACCGCCAAGAAACCCCCAAGACGCCCGAAGAGGTTTCCAAAAGGCTTCCAAGAAGCATCCGAACAGCATTCAACCATCCACCCAGCGTCATCATTCTCCTCATCCCTCCTTCACTCGGTTCCTCGCCACCCCCTCATCTATCCATCTGGCCTCCTCTTCCGCCTCATCCTTTGCACGGATCGGCTGTCCCTCTCGTTGCTCCCCCACTTCCCTGATCTCTTCAACTTGCCTGGACATCGTTTCTGGATGGGCTGGTGGGGATATTTTTTGGGGCTCGCGGCTCCAAGGCGAGGGACAGGGAGCGAGCGCAACGTCCGGGGCGCATGACGATGCAAATTTGCCTCAGAGGCGACTGCACGTGCCAGGGACAAAATGACCCTCATTAAAACGCATACTTCGTCGGCAGGAGACCGGCCCACACATCCGGGCAGGTGGGGACGCAGGCGCGGCAACCGGCGGCGGAACGGGGGGGAGAAGTCGCCCTTTCGGCGCCAAACTCCAGCCGAACCACATCCGGTGAGGCCAAAAAGGCGGGGGGGGGGGGGGGGGGGAAAACGGTAGGGGGGAGGGGGAGGGGCGAAAGCGAGCGACTACCACAGCCTCACTGCAGCACCACGAGTCAACGATGGTGCGGCGAACGAGGCCTGACTCATCAAGGCTCACTGGATATGAGGTGTAGCTGATCCGCGACGCGCCATGCAGTAGAGGAAGACCACTGGTGTGGGCTGGTGGGGATTTTTTAAATGACGACTCACAAGGACAGATCCAAGGAGCGGGACGGGCTCGGTTGGGGCACAGGGCGAAATAATTGGCAACGACGGCACGTAGGCCGACGCAGCAAGTGCACGTGCAAGAGGCAAAATGCCCCGCATTAAGATGCAAGCGACCCAGGAGCGGAGGCGCAGGCACCAGACTGAGCTCGACGGAGGAGAAGTCGCACAGCGGCGCCAACTCGAACCGTACTGTCCGGCGCGTACTGGCGTGCGGCACGCTGCGCTGTGGCAGCGCGGGGGGCCCGAGAGGCCGCTCCGTCAAACAAGACGAGGAGGCGAGAAAACAAGGAAGGGCGGCGGGCGCGAGAGCACGCACGGGCAGAAGAGGGGGAACCGAGGAACGCCTCACTCACAAGGACTCCTGGGCGTGGTCGGGCACAAGCGACCGAATTGTGCACGGAGACGCCGACCCAATCATGGAGTCCGAAACCTGCGACTGCCAGACCCAAAGGTCGGGGGGGATGCGGCAGCAGGCATGGCCGAGGGCTGGTGGGGATACGCGAAGCGTCAAGAATTGGTGATGGTGATGACGATTATGTAGGTGATGAGTTGGTGATGGTGATGACGATTATGTAGGTGATGATGATGCAGGCTTTTTCCCCGCGCAACCGTGACAATGAATAATTTGAACGGGCCCTGGGACACACAAATAAATACACACAAATAGACGGATTCCCTATACTTTCCCATATGTTATGGGTTTTTGTCCCCCCCCCACTTCCCATATTTTATATCTTTTCTGGGGGATCGACGATTCATTGTGTCTGTCTGTGTGGTTGTCCCCTCCTGATTATTAGCGATCGATGACCAGGGGCGCCCGCATGCTGCCAAAGCCACCAGCCACCGAATCCCTCCAGCGCGCGAGCGCCTGCCCACGAGAGGGGGCGAGAACGGAGGGAGCGACCAGCACCTCCGCGAACGACCACGCCCGAGGAAGCCCTCGCGGCCCCGGTGGCCGACGAAGGAAGGAGGGGGAGGAGGAGGAGGAGGAGGAGGAGGAGGAGGAGGAGGAGGAGGAGGGGGAGGAGGAGCAGGAGCAGGAGCAGGAGGAGGAGCAGGAGGAGGAAGAGGAGCAGGAGGAGCAGGAGGAGCAGGAGGAGCAGGAGGAGCAGGAGGAGGAGAATACGACGCTGTGGAGGCGGCCGCGCGGGTGCACAGGCCGACACAAGAGGACGAGGGGCATGGGGCCACCCTACCCCTCCAGCTGCACAATCGCGGGCCTCCCCCACCGAGTGGATCACGGGGAGGGCAGCAGCAGCGGCAAAAACAAAACGAGTTTAAACGGCACCAGGACCAAACGCCACAGGAGCCAGGGAGCCCGAGCCAGGAGTTTAGAGGGGCGGGCCCCCGAGAAAAGACGTTAGGCCCTCAAGAGCCTGAACCAAGAAACCTCAGGGTCGGAGACCTGCAAGGGCCTGGGCTGGGGAAGGCTCCTGGATCCAGGTCTCCCCTCATCAGAGGGGTGCTTCCTCCCCAGAAGCAACTTGCGATTCCTCCTGGCGTGCTCACCCAAGGGCACGACTGGTGAGCAGTCTAGGAGAAGCTGACCTGCCTGGCCTGTGGTATAATATCCACATCTAACACAGAGCACGACATGTCCTGGCGAGACCCAGGGATAGTGCCCTCGAGCGTGACACGACTGCGCCATGCCGCACGACGGCATTGGCGCTTCTGGCACTGTTGCCTCAGAACTCTTAGCTCGGCCTGGCCGGGGTCCAAGGTTCCTTCTCTTGGGAGGAGGAGGGCCAAGGGAGGAGGAGGAGAGAGCCTGGACCGCTGTCGCCAGTGAAGCTGCATCTCGGGACCGAGTCGGACGACTGGGCTGAACGCGATCCGCGAGCGCAGTTACGCGTGGCTGGCGAGGGTGAGCGGGCACGAGCTGGAGCGGACAAGCGGCATCGGACCCGACGGTCCACGGTGGGACCCAACTCCATCGCACGCTTAGGCCTCTCCGCCCCCACCCCCGACGGGCCCGAACCCTGGGAGGCCCCGGGGTCCGAGAGGGCGGGCGCATCTAAGGAGTCAGGTCTGCTCTGAACGCCCACGAGGCCTGAATCCAGTCCGCGCTGGCCCCCGCTGCATGAGGCCCCCTGGGTGTCAGCGCCACTAGGCGCCGAGGAAACCCCGCCGCCAGGAGAGACCTCAGCACGACAGCCGGCGCGACTGACCACAGGCCACCGAGCGGGGCAAGCCGACTCGGAGAAACGCTGCCTTTGCCTGTCGCTCTTAACACCTCGTTAACAAAAGTTGCACCGCCAAAACCCTCACCTTGCTTGGAAAACACGCGCTTCAAAGACTGATCGAGGAACGGCTCAGGACGGGCAACAACTTTCGATTTATACAGCTTGCGTCGTTTCAAAGTGGGCGCGCGACCATGCGACACGCGATGAGTACGCGCGCGCACAAGCCAAGGGAGCACGCCGCGCACGGACTCATGCGCAATGCGCATGGCCGTGACTGTCCCCCTAGGCACGCTATGCACATCGCGACCTGCACAGGCGGCAAAATCGGCCCATCTGTTGGACCGCGCCTCCAGGGAGTCCCCTGTCTGATGACCACGAACGTGGGAGACCTGCAAGGCCTCTCCAAGGCCTCAGTGATCTTTTTTTTTTGTTTTTTCGCCATATGGCTTCCCAGAGGTCCGCGTTCGGCCGGCGGGGGCCGAGCGTAAACATCGGGCCGAGATCTAGGCCCTCAATAAGGCCAAGAAATCAATAAAAACTCGAATCGGCAAAATAACAACCTCTAAAACCTGGAGGAATGCAAAGAGCTCAGCACGTGGGGGACTCTGAACGGGCCCAGGTAAGGCCCCGTAGACAACCAACTGGATCGACCTGTCTTGGCATTTGATGAAGCCCCATCCCGCCCTCGAAGCTTCTGGCCAATACCACATTTTTCTGCGCGCGCCGTCCGTGAAGATGTCCCCTGTGACCAGGTCCAGGGAACCGCGCAAGATATGCCAGCGGTTGCTGTCGTCGCGAGGCGGCAGCGGCGGAAAACACGATCGTGGAGCTAGTCCAAGCTTCCAAAACCATGAGCCTGCAGTGCGCGAGGGCAGCCCTCGCACGTCAATAGCTGCCCAGGCCTGGTCCTGCTCCTGCTGCCTGGAAGGACACCCCCAATCTATGTGATAGCTGGTACAGACCTCGCATGCGCATCCAGGGCAACATGACGTGCGCGCGTATCCATGCATGTACAAAC